TGTCGTGGAGTAGTTCTATTTTGATCTGGTCTGTTTGGTGTCCTGGAGGCCTCTTGCATCTGTATGGGAATATCTTTCTCTAGATTGGGAATTTTCGTTATTATTTTGTTGAATATATTACGCATTCCCTTCGCTTGCACCTCTTCTCCTTCTTCGATGCCCATGATTCTCAAGTTTGGTCTTTTGATGGAGTCAGTGAGTTCTTGCATTTTTCTTTTCACAGGTTTGAGTTGTTTAATTAATAGTTCTTCAGTTTTTCCTTTAATTACCATTTCATCTTCAAGTTCTGAGATTCTGTCTTCTGTTTGTTCTATTCTGCTGGATTGGCCTTCCGTTTTGTTTTGCAGTTCTGTTTTCGTTCTTTTTTCTGAGGTTTTCCATATCCTGGCTGTTTCTTCTTTAATGTTGTCTATTTTTTCCTGAGTTCATTTATCCTTTATTCATTGTGTTCTCTCTTTCACTTTGGGTGTTTAATCAGTGCTTCTATGGTTTCCTTTATTTCTTCTTTTGCTTTTCAAATTCTCTATTTTTTTGTCTTGGAATTTCTTGAGTGTCTCCTGTACATTTTGGTTGACCCTATCCAGTATCATCTCTATAAAATTCTCATTGAGTACTTGGAGTATGTCTTCTTTTAAATTATTCTTGTGGCTTCATTGGGTCCTTTGGCATAGTTTATCTTCATTTTGTTGGAGTCTGGATCTGAGTTTCTGTTTCTCTTCATTCCCCTCTGGTTCCTGTACTAATTTTTTTGCTGTGGGAAACTGGTTTCCCTGTTTTTTTCTGTCTTCTGTCATTGTCCTTGGTTTTGTTTTACTGTCCCTGTACTGTGTGTAATTAAGTATTTTCTAGCTTGTAATAATAACAATGGTAATATTGAGAATGGAAGAGTGAGCTGAGATGGAAAGCAAGAAAGTTAAAGAAAAGGGGAAACAATATAACAGACAAGAGGGGAAAGCAGAACAAGGTAATCAACAAGAGAGTTTTCAAAGGTATAAACAGGGAGTGTTAGTGTACTAATCGACAGTAAGCTGAACAGACAATAGAGAGACAGAGAGAGGATTGAAAATCAAAGATAAAAAAATAAAAAATAAGTATAAATGAAAGTAATATCTATTTAAAATGAATTAATAATATGGAAAATAGAAAATTAAAAAAAAAAAAAAACCAATAACCAAAAAACTTCCAAGTTTAATATGCAATGCAATTTCAGTCTTATAATTTGGATGTCCGTCTCAATCTCCAGTCCTGGAGTTGGTGCCTCAGATGTTGTTCTGTAGTTGTCTCATCAAGGGGGATGCAATAAAGTAGAACAAATACACTCACACACACACAGAAGAAAAAAAAAAAAAGCCCCACCAAGTGTCCCCCAGTTCCAAATGCAATACAGTTTCAGTAAGTTTTTCGGCTTGCAGGTGTAATTCGGTTGTTCCTCTCATCAAAGGTGGGAAAAAAGAAAAAAAAGGTCTGGAGGCAGTTCTGAGAGTGGAATCTGCAACTGTGGCTTTGCCGCTGCCCTGCCTGCTCTCAGCCTGTAGCTGGCGCGTTATTATGCAGATCTCTGGGTGAGCTTAGCACTCACCTGGTCCCACAGGCTTTGTTTGCTCAGAGTTCTCCTGTGCGGGGGGCCTCTGCTACAGCTTTCCCCTTTCCAAGCACTGGGAAAGGTGACACTGCCCCGCGTTGTCAGGCCGCGTGTTTTATTTCAGTTTACGTGGGAAGTGGGTCTTCCCTCCTCTCACCAAGCCGTCCCCTCTCCGGTTGCTGGGCCGCCCCGCTCCCGCCAGAAGCCTCTCCGGCCCGCCGGCTTCGTTTTTTACAGTCCCGGAAGGATTTCCCTTCCCCCAATCTTCAGCGCTCAGGGCGCCCCACCCTCTTTCCAGCGTGTCTTAAACTGTTCTTATTGCTTAGTACTTCAGTTTCGTCTTTTTTTCCCGGGTGGAGTCCAGTCTGTCCCAGGGGCTAATGCGGCTTCTGGCCCAGGCTTGGTCTGTGGGGGAACTATGCCTGCAAAGTGTGTCTTCCAGCGTCTCTCAGATTTCCACTATAGGAGGGTCGCTTTTCTGCTTCTACCTCTACGCCGCCATCGTTTGGAATTTCCTCTAGGAAACTTTTTTAATTTCCTCTTTTATTGCATCGATGATTCATTCTTCATTAAGTTGAGTTTAATTTAGTTTTCAGCTGTTTTGCATGTTTTTTTTGTTTTACTTTTGTTGTTGAGAGTTCTACTTTTACTGCATTGATGGTCAAGATAGTATGCATGGTATATTTCTATTTTCTTATATTTTCTGAGGCCTTGCTTTGTGCCTAGGATATGGTCTATTTTGGAGAAGGTTTCCATGGGCTGCTGAGAAGAAATGTATATTTGTGTAGAGGTTGGATGAAATGTTCTGTAGACATCTACTAAGGTTCCACTTGAATCTATTGCATATTTTTAGATCTAGGATTTTCTTTCTTGAGTTTTTGGTTTGGCATGACCTATCTATTGAATGATAATGGGTGTTAAAGTCCTCCACAACCAACTGTGTTGGCGTTTTTATATATGCTTTTAGGTCTTTCAGGGTATGTTTGATGAAATTGGGTGCGTTGACATTGGGTGCGTACAGATTGATGATTATTATTTCTGTCCTTCTTTTTATTGTTTTTGGTGGGACTAGAATTTGAACTCAAGGCTTTTTGCTTGCAAAGCAGGCTCTCTACTGCTTGAACCACGCCTCCAGTGGGCTTTGGTTATTTTGGAGATGGGATCTCTTGAACAATTTGCCTGGGCTGGGCTTGAACCATGATCCTTCCAATATCAGCCTCCCAAGTAGCCAGGATTGCAGTACTGAGCAATTCCTTTTTATTAACTCTGAGCCTGAACTCTGGGCCTTGTGCTTGCTAGATATGCACTCTACCACTTGAACCACTCCACCAGCCCTTTTTGTGTTGGGTATTTTTGAAATAGGGTCTCCAAAGAACCATTTTTTCCCAAGCTTGGCTTTTCGAACCTGATCCCTCCTGATCTCTGCCTCCTGAGTAGCTAAGATTGCTGGTGTGAGCCACCAGCTCTTGGCTCCTTTTTATCTTTAATAAGTATCCTTTCACTACTCTAAGTTAGAAAAATGTGGCTGAATGGAAATTCTTAGTCCATAAATCTTAAGGTTTTATAAAAAAAAGAAAGGAAAAGAAAAAAAAAAAAGGAAAAAGGAAAAAAGAAAGGAGAGGGACCTGCACTTGAGATTCTAATTAATCACTTAAAATTCTGAAATTGATGACAGGGAATAATTTACATATATGGGAACAGTGTGTTTTTTTGTTTTTGGTACTAGGGTTTGGATTCAGGGCTCACATTTGCTAAGCCTACCACTTGAGCAACTACCCCAGTGCTTTTTTGCTTTAGTTTATTCTTCAGATCAGGCTTGTGCTTATGCTGGGGGCAGGCCTTGGATCATGATCCTCCTACCTCTGCCTCCAAGTAAGCTTGTGATTACTATGATTTTTTTTGGTGGCATAGAGTTTAAAACTCAGGGCTTTGCACTTGGTTAGGTAGGCACTGTACCGCTTGAGCCACTCCACTAGCCCTTGTTGTTGTGGGCCAGTTTATGTCCAGACCGGTCTCACCTTGATACTTCTATTTACACTTCCTGAGTAACAGGGATGAAAGGCATGTTCCACCACACACAGCTTTTTTTATTGATAGAGATGGGGTCTTGCTAACTTTTTGTCTGGGCTTGTCTTGAACTGTAATCCCTCTCTGCTCTCCCCAGTAAGCTTAGAATTTACAGGCCCATGAACCAAACCATGCCCTGGTTTGGACTTGTTTTTGAGATAGAGGTTAATTTTTTTTTTTTTTTGAGGCTTTGCCTCAAACCGTGAATTCTACTATCTGCATCTCCTGAGTAGCTGGGATTACAAGCACACATCACCATGCTTGGCCAGGGCACAATGTAATTTTGATGAATGTATTCATTATGTAATAAGCAAATTAGGATCTCTAGTGTATCCATTGCCTCAACACTTACCTGGTTACTTGGAGATAGCAGCTGCCCTTCAGACTCCTTGTGGTAAATCACAGCTCGGAGGCCAGGCACCTTGAGGTCCAGCAGAGCTCCCTTCCTGACCCCAGGTAAAGATGGAAGAGCCAGGTTCTTTCTTCAAAACCTGTCTCTCTTCCCAAGAGCCTGAACAGCTGGCTGAGGGGTCAGCTTGGTTAAATGCCCATAGAGAGAAAGGGAGTGTCGTGTGGTGTTTACCCACCACCCCCCACCTATACATAAACACTCCCTGAGTGCAGGTGGGTAGAAAAAAAGCCCTGGGAGATATAAAACAGATTAGGAAAAGCCTGCCACCTGGCCTCTTCTGCTGCCACCAGCCCTGGGGACTCTGGAGATTAGTGGAAGGCAGCTTTGTTGGGGATAGACATTGAAATGTCAGTTTTAGTTTAAAGGAGCACTTTTTGTTTGGCTTCTAGGAACCAAGGAAAGAAGGCAGACCTCCTGCTTCTTATGTGTCTGCCTGTCTCCGAAATGTGGGGCTGGTTCTTCTGGGGATTTTTTGCTTTGTTTCAGTTCTCGTTATCCTGCTTCTCTGCAGCTGGTCCGGCACTGCTTCCACTCTTCATGTGGCAAGCCAGAGAAAGAAAGACACAAATCATGGTGTTGGAGGCAAAAATGGGTTGTTAACCCACTTTCCCAGGTAGAGGAGGCGAGCATGCAGTGCACAGTCCCTGGCATAGAGAGTTCTCCCACAGGAGGTGCCCCTGCCATGGCTCTCTTGTTCATTCATTCACTTAGTTAACCTTTCATTTGTGAGTTGATTTATCTATTTGTTTGCTCATTCACTGAGCACCAACCAGCCTTCCCTGCCCTCCTCTTCCCCCAGTGATCAGCTTCCTTTTACGTCTCCTATGTGCCTGCCCTGCAGGTGATGAAAACATGGCACAGGAGCACCTCAGAGTCCTCACAGCAGAGTGGGCCAGGCTGGTCCTAATGTAGTTCTGGACACTACAGGGGATCTACCACATGTGTGTCTTTGCAGGTATGAGCCCTGCCTCAGTCACACTGGCCAGTGTCCTAACAGGTTTACAGGGCGACAGCTCTCTCTGAGGAAGAAATCTTGGTCCCTCTTTGTCCACTGGCTGATTTTGAGCCGGCTCCTGGAAAGATCTTCACAAGGTAAAGAGAGTGTTTTTGTTTGCAATTGAGTTTGTGGGCATCTGAGGTACTAGAATGAGTGGGCAAGTGGAGCCCCCTGTGCAGCTGTATTAGGAGGCTGGCCTGTCTCTCAGCCCCATGCTCTATGGTAGAGTAGGAAGGCCTTGTTTTTTCTTGGTCTTGCATAGCATTTAAAGAGAGGCTGGCTGCAGCAATAGGGGCTTCTTCCAACCACCGGGGTTCACGATGCTTCACCAGAGATGAAAGAGGGGGGGGACAGCCGTCCCCGCTGGGACATCCCATAACTCTTCTGCAGAATGCTGCACTAGTCTCAGCCAATAATCAGAAGACAAGAAACCTGAGCCCATGGTGTGCAGTCCAGCTACCAATGAGGGTAGTGGTGAGGATCACCATCTGAGGCCAAGCCAGGAAAGAAGTGTAAGATCCTACCCGAAAACAAACGAAAAGCACAAATAGCTGAAAGGAGTGGGTGCAAGTGGTGAGGGCTTGCCCTAGAAATGTGAAGGCCCTGAGTTCCAAAAACCCAGTAACAACAACAACAAAAACAGAAGACAGACTCCTACCACAGCCTCTTACAACAGGAAGGTTTAGTATAACGAATTACTAAACTGTAATACAGAACTAACTGAAAGATAGGAAAAAACCTCAATGTGGTTCTCTAGGGTGGAGGACAGTACCTAAGAGGGGTAAATGTTGAGGGGAGCCCTCTTCAGGTTGGGGTTCAGATCTGTTGGAGGAGAGTTTGTACATTCGTGTGGACACGGTACACAGGAGGTTACCACATGGCCAGTCCAGACCTTGAGGTAGCCAAGGGACCTCTCTTCCTGGGCCTGAGTCCAGGGCAGAGCGTCACTACTGGGTGGTGTCACACTCAGACCACTGACACCGCTCCCCTCCAATACAGCAGGAGACCCCTTGCCTCCCACGATGTCTCTCTAGCACCTCTCCTGAGAAGACTGCATGTTGTGCTCTCTGTACACAGAGATGTTTAAAGATTAGATGTGGAAGGGTAAATGTGGAGCTGTGAGGTATTAAATAGGTAACCGAAACAAACACTGAGAGCCCACAGTCAGATGTGGACTCTTAAATCCCATGACACATAAGATCATATATGCTTCCTCAGGGTGATGGGCCCCAGCATGGGCTGGTGAAGAGAGGCTGTGGATCTGTGCTTTCAGAGTCCTTACACCCTCTCCCCTGTCCTGGGGTTTTGATGAACAGCTACAGAGCTCCCAGAAGACCAGATGTCTTGGGTCATGGTCTGGCTGTAAAGAACTCAGGTTTGCACCAATTTCTAGTTGGACTTGACCACTCTTTATGTTTTACCTTGAGCCTCCCGGGCCACTAATGAATTTGAATGTAAGTGCTAAATTCCTGGCCATGTCTAGTGCCATCTTTAGTAATCCACGTTCCTCTGCACCAGGGTGGAATTTATTCTGTTCTGTGTCTCTCCTTAGTCTTGCTCTTAGTCAGAACCAGAGGCAGGTACTGCCAGGCAGCTGTTAGGCACAATCCCAGGATTGGCCTACCTGATGGCAGCCCTGTCTCTATATCCCTGTCACTTCCTTGGTTTCAGATTCCTTGGACTATGTGGTCTGTCCCTGGTCAGTCCTGCTCTCTGCAGCTGGAAGTCTTTCTTTCCAAGATCACATTTGTCATATAGAGGCTGCTCCATTCAAGGCTCCTGAACTGCTACAGGGACTGAGTGAGGGTGAGAAGCCTGATATGTCACAGGTAAGCTGTGTGGCACTTCTGCAGCACCTGCATCCTGGGACAAGCCTGTCCTGGGGGTGGCACCCCAGCTCCCAGCCCAGCTCTGAGGAGTCTGGCTCTCAACTCTGAGGTAGAATGGGTTAAAGAATGTCGTTCCCAAGATTTCTAGCCAACAACTTACTAGCTCTTGGACAAGGGCAAGTCAACTTCACTGAGCACGTTTCTACATCTGTAAAGCTGGGTTAATGTGACTTAGTGGATCTGGCTATTATCAGCATCCAAAAGGAAGTATAGGAAAATCATGGATAAATGATCTGCACATTGGAACCATTGACAGCATGAAGCAAGAAGCTCCCAAATGACCCAAGATGTCCTCAACTAGTTTATCCTGAGTCAGAACAAAGGTGGAGCAGCTGCAGCATGCTCAGGGTTGCCCTGTTGATGTCATCCATGAAAAGAGATAGATGATCACAGAGATATGAGACAAGACTGCAATCAGATGAGATGACTGCAAATAGCTATTTAGTGACTTGAGAAAAAAGCCAGCACATGCATGCACAGTGTGATGAAAGTTTGTAGGGGTGGGGAGAGAGAGAGAGAGAGAGAGAGAGATTCTAATACACCCGGCAAGGTGTCAGAATGGCAATACTTCTGATATTTCTACAGTGGACCTTTCTAAGGAGAAAAAAAATCCAGTGGACAGTATTTTCAATTTTAAAAAGAAGGCAAGGCAGGCTCACAGTCCTGAACAGGGCACGGTGGGTGTTTAATCAGTGAGCCTTATTCCTTTCTTCTTGGCCTTCCTCGGGAAAAGCACAGATCTAGGAATGCCGCTCCTCCCAGGAGCTGTTCTCAAACAGCTGCTTTTCCTTTGGGCTGTGAGAAGGAGAGAATGGGGTCTTGGTGGCTTCCAGGTTTGGTTGGTCAGGGTCCACATGACCTCAATTCATGTGCCAACAGTGAAAACATGGAATCCCTGTTGCGTGGCCTTGGCTCTGTGACCCCATCCCCCTCAATGGGCGCCACACTCCAGACCTGCATACTCTCTCCTGATCTGCTGGGGAGCCTTAGGGTGAGTCACTGGCCTCCTGTGTCAGACCCACCCTTGGATGCTTCTAGACTGCCTCTGTTTGGGTGTCTTGGCTGGTGCTCCACCTACATGAAATTGCTTTCCTGTGCCCTGGGCTCAGCTAAAATGCCACATGCTAAGTGTGGGCTGTGACGTTCTGAGCCCTCACTACAGGGCATGCCCATGCAATCTGCAAAAGTGGAGCTAGTTGCCCATGGGAGGAACCCTAGCCAGTGCCAAATGAGAGTTGAGAGAGAACTAAGAAGATAAATTCTTTCTCTCTTTCTTTCTGGATGACTTCAAGATGTGCAAACCTTGAAAGCCTTCCAGAGAAGTACTGAGATTCAGGATTCTGCTGCATGTCTTGCGGGGCTCTGTCCTTGATCCCTTCCTCCTTTTTCCTCACTCCAGTTACCCTGGGTTTATAGCTTCTGGATGCAGTATTGGCATGTAATCCTTGCCTCAGGCTCTGTTTTCCAGAGGACCTGAGTCTTGGGTGCTTTTGGGGTCTTTTTCTGCCTCCCACCCCAGCACTCACTGATGGGTAACAGGCATTGACCCTCTGACTGTAGTTTGGCCTTTACAGAGTGTACATACCTGTGTTCAAGTCAAGAAACAGGAGGGGAAAGGATGGGACCAGTCACATGTCTACTTTTTGTTAGTAAAGCAAAAGTTTTTTCAGAAGTCCCTTAAGCAACTTCCCTCATTTCTTTTGCTGAAATTGGGTGTCATAGTTATTGCTAGAAAGCAATCATGTACTTTTCTCTTGGCAGGTGCATGTCTATTCTTTAGGAATGACTCTGTACTGGTCAGCAGGGTTTCATGTCCCACCAAACCAGGTCTGTAAACAATGCTCCAAGTCTGTCAAATCATGCCTTTAGGTTAATTTGGTGGCTGTGCCAAGGTAGGACCACATCTATTGAAGCTGGGCATACCAAGATTCCCTCCTAAGGCCTAGCTAGACATTGCCAATCAATCTTGGCTCCTTCCTGAGCCTGTAGAAACAGCCCCAGCACACCACTCAGCACAGCACTCCACGCCAACACAGTTAAGGTCACTTGCAGTCTCTGCTCAGAGAAGTAGCAAAGTAGAGGACATTATAGACATGGAAGATAGAGTTCTTTTCTGGACTAAAAAGCTTTTAAAACAGCCCTTCCTGAAGTGAGATGCTCCCTGAGAAAAAGGTCCTGTACTCTACAAATCCTGCATGCTTTTTCCCTGCAATGTCTCTCTCCTGGGGGTATTTCAAAGGAGTATGTTAAAGGCTGTAAGAAGGCTTAGTGCCAAGAAACTTTTTAACTTTGGGTAGCATAGCATTTTATAGTTTTGGACTGCTCTGTGTGTGTGTGTGTGTGTGTGTGTGTGTGTATAAAATTTCATCTGACACCTTAGAGTTTCTTAGAAACTAGTGCAAAAGAGCACACACTAGAGAGCCCTGGCCAGCCAACTCATCCTTTTCCCTTCCTCGCTTCCTCCCTGCCTTGTCCAGTCCAACACCCCTGGCCTTTCTGAATGCTTCTTTTTAAGCAGAGATCTGTTCACCATCCTCTCTGTGTGAGCTTGCTGTGCTCCTGCTCCTGTCTGCTGCTTCTCTGGTCTCTGCCATCTTTAGGACCGACCTCATGGGTGTGTGAGCCGTGGTCTTGTGTTTGGTTTAATGCTCTGCTATTAATATCTTAAAATTCCTAATAATTGGGATCAAGAGGCTCCACACTATCATTTTGCCCCAGGCCCGGCCCTGCCCAGAGCTTCCTTCTTTTCAGACACATGCTCCTTGTTTGCACCTCTGTGCTGTTGTATCTACTGCCTCTTGCACCGCAGCTCACCCCCCCCTTTCTCTCCCTGGTGAGGCCCTGCTTACTCTTTGGCATCAGTCTGGGTCAACCCCTGCCTGTGTTCTTGCCATGTTCTGTGCTACCTGAGGCCAAGCCCTTATCATCTTGGACTGTCCTTGTCTCTGTGACAGTGTTTCTAATCAATCAATTGGCCTGTGATTTTAAGGCAGGGAACATCTCAAGTAGACATGCAGTCCCAGGTACACAGTGGCCTCTCATTTGCTGTGTGAGTACAGAACACAGTAGCCCGACTGCTGTGACAACAGGCACCTCAGCTGGTACTCCCTTTGAGACAGGTAGTATAGCCTTGCTGCAGAATGACTTGTAGTAGAGATACCGTTAGTTTTTGCACTGTTCAGGTGGGCAAGTGGTCTACCACTGAGCCCCAGCCTCTAACAGTCAGATTTTGAGTCTGAATTTGTGTAAGTGGTGTCCATGTAAATGTATGAAGGAAGTTCTTGTAAGAGACCTAGTTTTTCTTTCACTTGACGTGTGCATGTAACATAAAGTTTGAACCTGGGTGACTGAGCCCTCATCTTGCTTGCTGTTGACAACTCCACAGGGGAAGGCCATAGTCTGAATGTCCCTATAGCTCTCATTCGAGGGGAGAGGCCCCATGAGACCCATCTAACTCACAGGGGGACATGACAGGCTGCTGGGTGAACATGCATGAAAGGCTGTTCTCTGGGGTGATGGGTGCTTGGCTCAGGTGGTGATCCATCTTGTCTGGCACCTGCTTTCTGTCAGCATTCCAAATGCACATATGGGCTGAGGGCATCTGGTTTAGAGAGCATCACACTGTGCACAGTGGGGGCAGAGACCAGTGCTCTGCCTTTGATGGCCTCAATGATGGAGCGTGTATTTGTCCCAAACCCTTCAGAAGGAGCAGGCTTGTGTCTGGGTGATGAGGGAATAAATGAGTGTTAGAGATACCATTTCCAGGGTATTAAATGAGTGTTAGAGATACCATTTCCAGGGTATTCCAGGGTACTTGGGCTAGTTTGGTCCTGCAGCATCTGCCCCAGTGGTGCCTATATTTCTCACCAACCTGTGCCCCACAGCCCCTGCTGCTCAGCCAGCCAGTGCATGCTCTCCTGCTGGCCATGTGTGAAGACCAGCCTTGCAGGCGGCGGCCGCTGCAGTCAGTTCTGGAAGCCTGTCGGGTCCATGAGGAAGAAATGACTGTTTGCCCAGCCCCTGCCAGCCTCCACGTCAGACGGCTGGTGGGTTTGGTGCTGGGTACCATCTCTGAGGTACAGAATTAGGTTTTGCAAACTGGTGACCACTTGCCATGGGTGGCTATTGAAATTTAGATAAGCTAAATTATAACTAACTGAAATGAAATAAAAATTCAGGGGACTGGGTATGTAGTTTAGTGGTAGACTGCTTGCCTAGCATGTGTGAGACCCTGGGTTTAATCCCCAGCAACACACAAACAAATTCAGTTTCTCAGTTGTATCTGCTACACTTCAAGTACTCAGTTGCCACAGGTAGCTGGCAGCTACCCTACTGGACTAGAATAGTTTTGGTGTTGCAGTTCTATTGGGCAGTATTCAAAGCCCATAGGCAGACTATGATTACTAACATGGCTTTGACCCTTGGATCTTTCAGTTCTCCTACCAAACCTCAACTCTGGACCCCATTCAACCCCTCCCACAGGGTCTCTGGCCACGCCCTCCCCTCTGCCATCTTGTTTCTGTGGAGGTGCCCCTTGCTGCCCTTGTCTCACTGCACAGCCTTCTTCCCTGTTCATGCCCAATGCCCAGCAAGGGGCCTGGCACATGGTAGGCATTTGGCACAAGTCAGATTCCCTCCACCCTAACACCGAGTTGGAGAAAGTACTCCAGAGGGAGGGTAGTGAGAGAAGGAGAGTTGGATTGAGGACAAGATAAAGAATGAGATGTCCTAACCTGGAAACAGCCTCCTTTTGACCCCCCACCTCCTAAGGAACTCTGGAGCAGGAATGGTGCCTAGAAGTTGGTCTCCCATGATGCCAGGATAGGGCTGGGGCAGGGTGGCAAGCAAGAGGCCCATGTTACACATTGTAAGGTTTTCATTTGTGATGAACTGGAGGGAGGAAAATATAGCTTGGGCAGTTACTCTTATCCAAGATTGTCCAAGATTACTATAGGAGTCATGTGGCTGGAGATGAGGGGACAGCTGGGTAGGCATTGCCAACAGTCCATGGGAAAATGCTACTCCCAAGGCTGGGTGCTGTGACTCACACTTGTAATTCCAGCTACTCGAGAGGCAGAGACTGGGAAGACCACAGTTCCAGGTCAGCCCAGGCAAAACATTAGCGAGATCCCATCTCAATCGGTAAGCCAGGTGTGGTGAAGCACAGCCACATGATAGGTTGTAGGTAGAAGGATCACAGTCTGAGGCCAGTTCCAGGCAAAAACATGAGAACCTACATGAAAAATAACTAAAGCAAAAAAGATGTGGGGTGTGGCTCAAGTGGTAGAACGCCTGCCTAGCAAGCCAGAAGCCCTGAGTTCAAACCTCAGTATTGTAAAAACAAAAAAAATGCCTCTCCCTTCCAGCATCCTTTGTGGACCCCTTCTCCCTGTGTGTATGGACATGTGGCTCCTATAACTGAGCCAGTAGATTCAGTGTGGGAAGAGGGGTATATTTATCTGAAATATACCCCCTGTCCTTTCTAAGGACAGTGTGTCACTGTCCTTGCTGAGGTTCTGTGTTGATCTACGGCATTTCTATTAGGGACCCACAAAGTAGACTTTCATTCTTATTTAACATTCCCTGGGTTCTGGGGGAGAGCTGCAATGCCTGCTGCATAGAGCGTACAGTGAGATTGGGGAGACAGACAGGCCAAGCAAGCTTAAGGTAGTTGGTGTAACAGATGTGAGTAAAGTGACAGGGAAGGTGATCACAGGGCAGAGGCTGAGAGAGCACAGCTCTAGGTCATGAAGGCACAGTGTTGCTTCCAGGACCACAGTCAGTGAAGAGACTGCACCATGTGCTTGAGTGCACAAGAAAGGATGGCATAGGTTGCTGTTGTGGGTCCAGAGCATGTTCTAGTTGCTGGAGAAGGCAACCTTAGGCTCACACTGGGTAGGGCAGACAATTTACACTGACCTCATTTGACACACAATTTGCATGAGTCTGCACAAACTTCCTCTCCTGACATTGGGCTTTGGCTGTGTGATGCCCTTGACCTTCAGGTGGACCGGAAAGTTGTGGAAGAAAGTGCCTGTGAGCCACAGAGCAGAAGCTACCTGCTCAGGAAGAGGCTGCATCAGGGGAGCAGCAAGAGTCCTGCCCAGACCCTGGACGGTCTGCATCCTCTCGGAGGTGGGTGCAGGTTTTGGGGGAACCTGCTTAGGCCAATGGTGTCCACTCTGTTTTCTCCTGATGCAGGGTTCCAGACATCCCTGCCATGTTGGCAAAGAAACCCTGTGTAAGTGCCACTCTTCCAGGAAGCCCTGGGGAGAATGGCTGAGCCTAGGCCCCCTCGGTATCCCCGGGAACATTTTAACAATTTAGCAGAGTTAATTATAGCAAACATTAACTTTTTTTTTTTTGAGTCTAAATGGTCAAGTTGATGAGAACAAATCAGAACAAGCCACAAAAAGAAAAAAAAAAAACCTTTTGAAAAGCTACTTTGTAAGTGGAATGGCAGGAAAAATAATTTGCAAAACATTATTTATTATTCTAGGTGTGTTAAAAAAGTGCCTTTAAAAATAACCTCCAAATTTCCTATTATTCTCCATTTTTAAACTAAATCTGAGCTTTATTTATTTATTTAGAGATAGGCTCTTCTTAATGTAGTGCAAACTGGCCTTGAACTTGAAATCCTCCCGCTTCCAGCTCCCACACTTGGGATTACAAGTGTGACTCTCTGTGCCTACCTTATTAATTAAAGTTAATGCTTTTTTGTTCCTAAAACAAGGTACTATTTTGCTCTTTGCCAGATTATCCTGTAACACTGCTCTCACCTCCCTGCCTATGACTGTCATTACCGTCTTTGACAAGAGAATACAGACAGAGAGGCTCCGTAATTTCACCAAGGGCACACAGCTAATGAGTGATTTTATCTCACTCTGGGCTGCTCAATTCCAGAAAGTCAGGTCCTTGCCTCCACCCGTGCCCTCCAGCATGCTATTTTAATTAGTTTCAGAGAGAAGCACAGAGACCCAGCACTCCCTGGAGCCCCACCGGAGTGCCTCAACACACAGTTGCTGCAGTCGCTTTGTGACCAGGTAAGGTTTACAGGTGCTGGGAACTTGGAGTGGCACTGCCCATATCCTGCTTGCTAGGTGAGGCCTGTTGCTTCTCCAAAAATGCTATTAGCAAATGAAGAAGCCATGGTTTTGAGGGGCCCAGTGCCCTGTCTCCTCTGGGAGCCACACTCAGGCTCAGGGATGTTGCAGTTAGGCCCCACCACACCGTGCTGCCCAACTGGCAACCACAAAGCACAGCGGTGAAGCAACAACTACTCATTTAACTTGCTGCTCATGGGTTGGGGACTGAGGATGTGCTCAGCTGCCAGCAATTCTAGACCCTCTGGGCATCTTCTGTACTGTGACCTGCTGTAGCTTGCCGGGGTGGGGAGGGGGCTGTCTATTGGTCTATTGTCTGGGGGACTCTGGCTCTTCAACAGATCAGGCTGGGGGTTACTCATTGCTCTCATGACAGTGGCAGAGAGAAAGAGAGAGAGAGAGAGAGAGAGAGAGAGAGAGAGAGAGAGAGAGAGTGTGTGGGTGGCGGGGTGGAAGACAGAGAGATATAGTTTACCGAAGTGGCCTCTACCACTTCTATCTCTATTGGCCACATCAAACCTCAAGTCCAGCCCAAACTCAAAGGGTGGGAAAATGGACTCCATCTATTGACAGAGGAGGATGTAAAGTCAATTTCAGAGGTCAGGGATCAGGGAGGAAAATTGCCACTGTTTTAGAATCAGTGTAACATTGACTAAATTGGATGAAATCCTACGTGGGTCCACACCTCTCTGGACCTGGAACCCTGAGTGCCTTGTGTTTAGAGGGTTTATTGGTTTAAATATTGCTTTGTGGAGAGCTGTGATGGTGCCTTGTCATCTATGGTTCAGACAAGGGCTTAGGCCACACTTGATGCCATATCCATAGCTGGAGCTTTGACCAGAGATCATAGCTTTCACACTACAATGATTTTTCCTGCCCTAAAACACTATTTTTGCAATGAAACTAGCTCCCCCCATACTACAAATAATATATAGTCCTTCATCATTTAATGGCGGGATACACCCTGAGAAATGGATTGTTGGAGATACCATTGTTGTATGAACAGCATAGTATGTTTGTACCCAGGCATAGCCTGCTACACAAGTAGGCTACTTGTGTGTGTGTGTGTGTGTGTGTGTATAATTTTTTTTTTTGGATGTGGGGTCATGGTAGCCTGACCAGAGGCAGAATCCTGAGGTGGGGGAAAAGCAGACCATGGCCTCAGACCCTTGTCCTATCCCACCTTGTTCTGCAGCTGTATAGCCTTGAATTCTGGGGTCTCAGCTTCCCTATCTGAAGAGTGGCTGTGATAACTCCCCACAGGATGGGGTATGAAGACATGAAGTGGGGGGTGCACCCTGTCCAGCTACCCAATGGCTGTGGCAGGACTGAAGCATCGTCAAGTGCTTCACTGCTTTTCCATCCCTGGCCAGTGGTCTTGCAGGTGCAAGTCCCCACGACTGTCAGGAGAGCCGGCGGCTCAGCTCTGGGTCTGTGCTCTTGGCAGAAGCAGAAAGCTCACAGTCAGCAACTCCTTCTCCAAGGGGTTTCCTGCAAAGAAAGGGAAAGGTGAGGAGAAAAAAGGCTGAAGGGGGCTAAACATGGGCAGGGCTTTGGGGATGGGATCCCTGGAATGAGATCATAGATCTGGACTGACATAAACCTGAAATTGGTGGTTCAGGGTTTAGGCATTTATTGAGTGGCCTCTCTGGGCCAGGTTCTGCCATAGACTGTAGGAATGACATTGACAATGACAGGCCCACCTCTCAGGAAGTTTGGTGTGAAAGGCTGAAGCACAGAGTGGTATGTGATAAAAGAGCTGACAAGGCCAAGGGCACTTGTCCCGGAGGCCTTCTGGACAGATGAAATGCAAGAGTCACAGGTCTGGGACTGCCAGGGGGTCTTCTTTAGGAAGGAGAGAGTCTCCCCTCTGTTTGGCAGAGGGAGTAATAAGATCAGGGGGACTATGGGGGAATTGAGGCTAGAGGGTAACCAGGCTAACTCACTGCAGCCTTGAAGGACAGGTGGACACCATGCAAGCCCACAGAGACGCTAAGCAGATCGGTGTTTCCTAGAGCTTGGAAGGACCCCATCTGGGCAGGGCAGCTCTTCACTGAGGAATGAGCTCCCACTCATTCTCACCATCTGGGAACCTTTGGGAACATCAACCCAGATGTTCGCAGAGGGCCTTTGTCTGTCACAAGGAGATTTGCTTAAAGCCCCTCAACAAATTAGAGATGAGCTTTGAATGACTTCAGGACATCCCTCCTCTTGTGTGGCCCTAGTTCCACATGTCCCACCCAGCCCTCTGTTGACCTCCAAGGCACTTTCTTGCCTTCATGAGCTTGGGAAGTGGTCAAGGAGGGACTCTCTTAGGGTCCTCGAAGAAGCAGTCCCACCTTCAGGAGGCTTGGAGTCATTGGTGTGCAGGGAGCAAAAAAGCTAATACACTGCTTTATTAGCTTTTCTTCCTGATCAACCACTAGAGACATATTCCTTTGACTCTCTCAGGACTCAGACCTCTCTCCAGCTGGAGTTGTGGCCTCTTGAGACTGGAGTCCTGCTGGGCATCCTTGGGGGGGCACATTGCCCTATCACTTGCTGGTTATATGAGCACCAAGTTTATTAGCCTTTTGAGGCCTTGATTTTTCTCACCTGTAAAATGGATAGCGAGCACTCTGCCCAGGATGATGGCTGGCTCTAAGTAACAATGAAGACTGGGACATTTCTTGGGTCACCAGTGTGACACAAATGTGGAATTTTGTGAAATGGAGAATGAGAACTGCGTGTATACTCTATTGATACACCCACATTTACCAGAGCCGGAAAATATTTTGTTTAAAAAAACTTTTTCATTGCCCATACTATATATTTGTACTATGGAATGTGTTTTACACTTTTGATACATACAAAAGATTGTGTAATTCTGTGTGCATTACAAGTCCACTTCTGTGCACACTTGTAGAGAGCTTTGAAATGGCCAGCTTAGCCTCAGCCCACATCAGTTCTATCTGTTCTGGGGACAGATGGTTTGGGGAAACCAGTCATAGGGGAAGCCAAGATCCCAATCCTTGTCCACTGTAAGAAGCTCTGAATGTTTTCCCCAGTTCTCCAGGCCGGAGTTCGTCCTGCTGCCTGGAGAGGCCCCGGTGACCCTACATCTGCCTGGATCCATTGTGGTAATTATGGGGTTAGACTGGACAGGATGGGAGGGAGATGCCCAGACAGGCAAGCACTCTGACTGTGGTCTTTTTCTGGGTGGGAGGATGGTACTGGAGTTTGAACTCAGGGCCTCATGCTTGCTAGGCAGGTGCTCTACCACTTAAGCCACTCCCCCACCCCCTGACTGGTGTCTTATGTAAGGATGCCCTGGTAGCCCTCCAGACTTGACACAGCCCTGACAGTCTGGTGTCCCTCAGCACCCCCACTTCCCCTTTGAGAGGAACCCCTTGCAGCTTCTGGCCCCATCCTGTTGATCCTCCCACTCAGTCTTTGTCTCTTCATTCTGCCTGGATACTTGTAAATCATCTCTCATGTGCTAGTGCTCACTCAGTCATCTTACCATCTATCTATGTTCATCCACTTTTGGTTATATGCTTTTGACCTCTCCCTCCTTCATTCTTACTACCTTCAGCTTCTTCTGTAGTAGAAGCAGGAGCTGGAATGGGATGAACTGTTCACCCACATTTAGGTGGAAACCTAGCCCATGTGGAGCATCTGTTGACAACTATTTTCTCACTGCACCTAGCAGGTGTATCATCAATACTAGGAGCTATTCATTTCATTACTACTATTCATGTAGCACCCTCAGCCATATGTCAATATCAAACATCTTTAGGTTTGATCTGTTCTCATTCCAGCTGTCTTCTCCTTTCACTTCTAGTCCAGCAGGTATTCCTATACTTTTAACAGACTAATACACACACACAGCAGGGTTTGAACTCAGGGTCTTATGCTTGCTAGGTAGGCACTCTACCTCTTGAGTCATGACACTAGCCCCAGACTGTAATCTTCACCCTATTTTCTTTGGCCCTGCTGGAGAAGCAGATCATATCCTATACCAACACCTATTCTGATTCTTCCATCACCAGAAAGCTGTATTTTTAATTCTATTCAGTTTTGGTATGATTTTCCATATTGTAGCATGCTGTTCTGGAAAAAGGAACCATGTGGCTACATTGGGGCAGTATGAGTTATATCAACTGGGCTTTTAGGCTTTATTATATGATCTCACCACATGTTTGTAGTAGGCGTAGATGTAGATAACTCAGCAGCTATAACGATCGCTATTGCAACAGGAGTAAAAGTTTTCAGCTGACTATATCCCTACATGGAGGGAATATTAAATGATCCCCAGTTATATTATAAGCTTTAGGTCTTATCTTTCTATTTACAGTAGGAGGCCTAACAGGAATGTATTATCTAACTCTTCCCTTGATATCGTACTTCATGACACATACTATGCTATAGCTCACTTCTACTGTGTCTTTTCTTAAAAAAATTATTCATTTATTCACATGTGCATACATTGTTTGGGTCATTTCTCCTTCTACTGTGTTTTATCCATAGGATAAGGTTTCACAATTATAGGATTTTTACATTGATTTCCACTGTTCTCCCACTATATTTTAGATAAAAATGAGCAAAAGTCCATTTTACCATCATATTTGTAGGAGTCAACCTTACTTTCTTCCCTCAACACTTTCTTGGATTATTAGGTATACCATGACAAATGCTTACACTACATGAAATATAGGGTCATCAATAGGATAATTTATTTCCCTAACAGCCGTTGTAACAAATTTTCACAATTTGAGAAACCTTGGTCTCAAAATGAGAAGTTGATTCAGTTGAGCTAACAAATAGAAATCTAGAATGACAACACCTATCTCCTTCACTTTATCAGCAATTTGAAGAACCTACATATGTCAAAGCTCATTAAGAAGGCAAAGAAACGAATTCTCCAAAACTAGTTTCAAGCCATCCTCATAACCATTATGACTTTCTCAATAAACAAAATATTAGCAAGTCATGATATATCTTTGCCAAAGTTAACTTACAGATTTAACTACTATTCCAGTTTGAATTTCAAGATGCCATATCCCCTATTATAGAATTACTTTACTTCCATGACCATACTTTAATAATTGTCTTTATTATTAGCTCATTAGTCCTCTATATCTCACTAATACAAAACACACTATAGATGCTCAAGAAGTGAGAAAACAGTATGGACTGTCTTACCAGCTATTATTTTAATTCTAATCACCATTCCATTCCTTTGCACTCTATATACAATAGATGAAATCAATAACTTCTCATTAACCATAAACATATATATAGGGCACCCAATGGTATGGAAGCTATGGATATATAGACTTTGAAGACTTAACTTTTGATCTCTAAGTAATCCCAACATCAAACTTTAAACCAGGGAACTTATGACTGCTTGACGTTGATAATCAAGTGGTTTTTCTCATAGCAATTCCTGTTCTTATCCCAACTTGAGCTGAAGGTGTGCTGCACTGATGAGTTGCATCATGTCTAGGCTTAAATGGATGCTGTCCCAGGACGCCTAAATTAAGCTACCCTTACATCAGCACGACCAGTGTTATTTTCTGGTCAGTGTTCTGAAAGCAGTGGATCAAACCATAGTTTTACACCTACTGCTTTAGAATTAGCACCACTTAGACACTTTCAAAATTGATCAGTGTCTATGCTATGGATACCACTATGACGTGAACGCAGCATTGACCTTTGAAGTTAGAGAATGAGAATAGACTTTCTCATGAAACACCACAACTAGATATGTCCACATTATTTATCATTATCTCAATAACCCTTGCACTATCTATTACTTTTCAACTAAAAATAAATTGGGGCACTATTCTAGGTCCCAATCTATGCTGTAGGAAAAAAATCCTTTCCATGTGGAGCTTACAATCTAGCAGGCAGAGGTAAAGATAGTGAAACGCATACACATAAAAGAATGGCAGGTAGTGATTTGTGCTAAAAACAAAATGAGAAGCCCTGTAAGGATGGAAGAGGATGCAAGACAAGGGGTCAGGGAGGAGGAGGAGAACTGCTCTTTTATACAGAAGTATCTGAAGAAGCAGCAGTGAGCAGGGAAGGGAAAGATGAGAGGGTGAGAAATGAGATTTTAGGTGAGAATAGTCCAGGCAGAGGGAGCAGGAGGGCAAATGCAGGTGGGCTGCCTTTCCCAGGCCAGCAGGTGAGCCTGAACCTGTAGCACACCTTTGCAGAACCCCTTCTCACAATCACATGTAACTGGACTCATCCTGAGCTCCTTTTCAGGCTCACAGCCCTGTTGTCCTGTGCCCAGCCTGGGTCCAGGAGATTCTCACCCAATGGTGAGCATTTGAGGGTGTGTCCTTCCCATCAGAGCCCATCTGGTCATTTTGGCCTGGCTTCACTGTCACTTGGCTCTCAAGCTTCTACTTAGACCTCACCACCTGGAGTCAGGGCTCAGGGAAGCACTGGCTTGGTGTTCCTCTTCTTCTGGGTTCCTTCATTGTGTTCACATTTGTCCTTCTCCTGTAACTCCAAGAAATGCAGAAAAGCTCCTGGAGCCCTCTCTGGTTGGGTCTGGGTTAGTTCAATGCTTCTAACAGAACTGCCTTGAAGCCCAGTTTAACAAACCGCCTGTCAAGGAATATTCTGCCATAGTACCAGAACACCATCTCCTTAGTATCTGGCCAGTGTGAGCAAGATGTTTGAGCTCTGACTCTGTGTTCATAATAGGGCACTCTTGGTGTGGTTGGCCCCATGCTGGGACATGAAACATAAAATGGGGTGATGATTTTCACATCCCAAGAATGCAAGGATTAAGACACCTAAAGCACAAAATTCCAGAACTTAAGAAGGTTCGTGTATGAGCATGGTGTGGATGTCATGGTGATTCACTCTGGGGGTCAATGATCTTTGGAAGATGCATCACACGTAGACTCAGGCCAAACTACAGAGATAGCAGAGTCAAAGTAGGACTGACTCTGGACATTTCTTTACTTCACTGTGCATTGATCTGTGGCACTGGGCCAGTTCCTCCTCTGCCCGTCCCCTTTGAGTCGCCTGTCCAGCCCTCCACCAGTCATCTTTGTATGTGCCCACCCAGTGTTATAGAGAGGAAGGGGCAATTCTCCCAGAGATTCCTTTCTGACACCCTTGAGGTCACATGGCTTCAGTCTGCAGCTCCTCCCCCACCAAGTAGATGGACCAGACCTTCTGTGATGGGTCAACCACCCCTCCCTGCAGGAATGCTTGTGCAATGCTCAGGGTACCAAGACTCTGGAGGAGATGTGAGGGGGTATTGGCCTCACTCTGTCCCTTGCAAACATCTCAACCAGAACACCAAGTTTAAGAACCTATTTGCAATCCTCAGAGGGCATATTTATATAAATTCTGGAGACAGAACCCCCATGGTATCGCACATGCTAGGCAAGTGCTCCATACTGAGCTGCAGCTCCAAGCATGGTGTTTTTAATTTGCTATTTAATGTCATATTCCCTTGGGCACAGGGTGGGCAGAGATCCTCCCAGGTACCTGGGTTTCTATTCTGTGATTCAAGTTCCCCTCCCACCAGCTGCTGCATCCCTGTGCCATGTCCTTGGCAAGATGGAACAGTTAAACTCCCTTCCCTGTGGTGCCAACCCAAACAGATGTGACTCTGAAGGGAGTCCCAGTCTCCAAATGGAAATGCACTGGAGTTACCTGGATTGGGGGTGGGTGAGAGCCTTGTCCCTGCTAAGTCCCCCATGGCAAGGGTACAGCTGCTGCCATACCTGCTCTGAGAAGTCTTGGAGTACACATGTTTGCCTGGAACCCTTCCTGTGCTGGCCACCTGCAAAGGGGCATAACTAGGGGGACATATGAACCATAGTTGCCCTGGGTGGCAGAGATTGCCATGTGTGAGGAGGATGGGAGGAGGATGGAAGGAGGGGAGGCTGGGACAAGAGCAGTTGGTAGTCAGATCCCATTGCAGGGAAGTAGGGAGGCAGGACTGCTGGAGCTGCAGTGACACCTACATCTCCTTTCTCCTATCAGTTCACCTAGAAAACACATATTCGAAGATGCAAGGTGGCATCAGACCCAGCAGAGCCTGTTGGTGCTCTGAGTCCAGGGCCTCTCAGCAGCCATCTCACATGAGAATTGCCTAGGCAGTGTTAAAAATAATGACCCTGGGCCTTGCTTCAGACTGATAGAAATGTCTCGGGCGGCCACTTCACCAGCAAGTGACTCAAATGTGCAGTGGGTTTGGGGGAGGGGGAAGGAACCTCAGTGGCTCAGACCACACAGTGCCTATGTGACCAACCCTGCCAGGACTGTGTGGAAAACCCACTCCCACAGTCCTGGTTGCTGGAATGTACAGGCTGCCCCTAGGTACCGGGAGGTCAGGATTTGGCTGCAGGTATGGTCCCTATTGGCAATAAAGCCACACGTTAGCCTCCATCCATGACTGCCCTCCAAGGAGGACTTCCCAGGGAAGTCTGGCAGTACCTGGGTTGGTTTTGGGATAAGAGGATTTGAGGCAGATACTCAGCAAACATTCTTACAGAAGAACACAGACAAGGAATCTGAGCCTAACTTGGAGGACCCATAGGAAGCTGCAGTGTGGGGATGAAGAGGAGATCACGTCATGTGCGCTGTGTGCAAACGCTCAGATAGCACAACAGATGGGAGCTCTGCAGAGTACTGAGTTGTCTGGGAGGCTGTGCTGAGGCCAAGGTGAGGGCAGAGCTGCGGCAGAACTGCCCTGTGGTAGGAGGTGAACCCGGTAATAACCTAAGGAGGCTGATGAGACAGAGGCAGGCTCTGGTATGCATCTATGACTCTGGTGAACACTATCTTGAATCCCCTTGCTCCAGTCCCCTCTCTTCATTGGATTGGTACTTGCCCAAATTCTCCCTGTAGTCTAGAACTCAGCAACCTGTGATCTTCAGGGTTCTGGGGGTCACAGTATCAGGTTGATGGACATACAGGAGTGTGTGATTCATTGATGAGTCATGATGGCAAGCAGAGGCCAAAGATGCTCAGAATGTCTACAGAGGAAGATACGAGCCAGACTCGCCTCTCAGTCTCCCTGGCCCCCACAGAGCCTAGCACATTTGTCTACATTTGTAGACAACTCTGCAACCCTGGGCAAATGTCTTCCCATCTTAGAGCCTTAGTTTCTCATCTGCTAAGTAGGGATCATAAGCATATTCATCTCTTAGGGTTGTTTGACAACTAAATGAGATGATGCCTATAAGGTTCTCAGCACAATAACTAGTCCAAGTCTCATAATTACTGCGATAATTGATACTGTTATTGTTTTCAGACCAAAAAAAGGGAAATCATATTTGGCTCTAAGGGACCTCTGTGTGTTTCTGCTGAGTGGACAGTGTCTGGAGGTGAAATGTGACATTGAGTCCACAGCAGGAGCTGTCTTCAATGCCGTCATGTCTTTTGCTAACCTTGCGGAGACCACTTACTTTGGCTTGGCCTATGTGAAAGGTGGGTATCTCCTGGGGACACTGCTGACCTGAGGCCTCTGAGAACCCAGGTACATGGAGACATGAGCTCAGTTCCTTCTAGGCAAACTGCCTGAGACTGGGGTATGTCCCTTTGCCCAACTCAGCATCAGTCAGTACAGTGAGGGACGGATTCAGATGCTTGTGTGAAAAGTCACATGCATGCAGATTGCCATTCTGTTAAGGGGCTTTTTATTTTTCTCCACTGCAAATATCCTTTTGCTGCTGTTGAAAATATTTAACCACTGTTTGTTGTGGTTAAGGGGTAGAAGATAGAGTTGGGATTTTTTGAGTCTTTAGGTGAAGTCCTGTCTTCACAATTTGCTAGGTGTCATGCTCCCAGTGTCCCTCTATTCTGCTGTCTCTAAAAGGAGCTTGTTTGTGATTATAGAATGGGCTTCAGTGGGGCAGGCAGGATATCCATGTCTCTCCATAGTTCTCATCAGCCTTCCACCAAGGTCCCTCTCTCAAAATAAAAAGATGTATTTTGATTGTGATCTTGATCATGGATGTTTATTTGATCTTTTGTGTAGTATGAATAAAAGCATTTTCAGGAAGCATTGTATTTTTAGTGATCCATAGCATGCAATCTAAATAAAAACGAGGCGAGTTTAACCTCTATCTGTCTCCTCCCATCAGGCAACTGCCCTTGAGCCCTTCCCTAGCTGGCCTCCTGGAAAAGTTCACAAAAGTGGCCACCTCCAGAACAGGGATATAGACCATCTTGGGAGGATTTGCCAGGCAGACCATATTAGGAACCTGCCCACCCCTCAGGGAGAAGTCACTCTAAGGGAGGCTGAGTCTGGTATGGAGTCAGATTTAGTGGCAAGGGTGGAGAACAGAGTGCTGGGCATCAAGTGACGATAGCTTTTAGACCTACCTGGATACCTGCCCTGCCCCCCCACATGCATGTCCTTGGGCAAAAGACTGGCTACCCATTTGTATGCTGCCTTCTAACACTGTGCCAGATGGCCACCTAGGCAAACCGCACATGTGCACCCTGAACTCAGAGGGAGTGCATAGAGAAGGGCAGTGTAGGGTGGGGCCTGGCCTGTAGGAGTCCCTAGGGAGTGGCCAAGGGTACCCTAATAGGTTGGGGAGAACCCCTGAAGAGAGCAGAAAGGTGGGGATGCTGACTTAGTGGCTGAGACTGATCCAGTCTTCCTGGAGGTATATTAGAGAACAAACTCAGCAGGAGTTAAAGTCCTTAGCTTAAGTTGGTAGAGTTTTAAGGTCAAGGAGCAAACGTGATTTCACTTATACACTGTCTTAGTTGCCTTGGGCTATTATAACAAAATACCATAGACTGGCTGGTTTAAATGAGAAACATTTATTTCTCACAGTTCTGGAAACCAGGAAGTCCAAGATCAGTGCGCTGGCTGATTTGGTTACTAGTAAGGACCTGCTGCCTGGCTTGTAGAGGGAAGTTCCTCACTGGGTCTTTACATGGTGGAGAAAGTGAGCTCTGATGTCTCTCCTGCTTCTCATAAGGACACTAATTCCATCCTGGGCCCACTCTCATGATCTCATCTACACTTAATTACCTTCCTAAGGTCTCACCTCCCAATACCACCACTTTGGAATTTTAGGCTTCAATGCATGAATTCTAGGAGGACACAAACATTTAGTAACATGCCTGGGGAGTAGAAGATGATCAGTTGATGCAGAAGAGCCTGACATGTAGCAGGGACTTGATAGTTTCATTTTATCTCTATAAGATGACAGCTGGAAAGCAAATGTTGAGTGACATCTTTCTATCAAAATTACAATTGTCCCTCAGAATGCTCAGAGGATTGGTTCCACAACCCTAGCAGATACCAAAGTTCACAGATGCTCAAGTCTTTTCTAGAAAATGCCCATGATTTGCATATAACCTATGCACATTTGTCTTTATACTTTAAATCATCTCTAGATTGCTTAGAGTACTTAGTACAATGTAATGCTATCTAAATTGGTGTTGTTTCATATCATTTAGTGAACAATGACAAAAAAAGATCTGTACGTGTTCAGGATACATGAAAATTGTTTTAGTAATATTTTTCATCTGTGGTTAGTTGAATCCATAGATTCAACTGACTGTAATCGTATTTTCTTCCTTGATCCTTGATCCTTAACCCTTTGTCTCCTGCTCTTGGCTCCTCACGGCCCTGAAAAGGGCTCTCTCCTTCATCAACATGGCTCATGCCAGACCCTTCTGGTCAGGACTTAGGGCTGTGAATCTGACAGGTGGGGCACTCCCTATCAAATTTTCCCTCCATACTCCCTCTTCTTCCATCTCAGGCAAAGAGTTCTTTTTCCTGGACAATGAAACCAGATTATGCACAGTTGCCCTGTAGTTTGGAGGGAGCAGCCCATGAAGACCTCTGCAGAGACCTTCATACTCTTTCTGTGGATAAAGTGCTTTGCCAGCCACTGTGGGATGCTCCAGTGAGTGCTGCACTCTGTCTTTGGGCTCCTTAAGGGATTTATGCCAGTCCAGGCTGATACTACAGAGAGTGGATAGGCAAGTGCTTTGGGAACGGTGAATTATAAATACATGACAGCAGCTACCGTTGGGGTTCTTATGGATGGAACTAAGAGGAAAATCAGTTTTTTGAGGCAGAATGATCAGAATGAGAACTTTCCCTGTGTTTCAGATATAGTCCATTCAAGGTCACATTCACTCTTCCCTAACCTCAACATGACCCCTCCTTCCTTCACATGCAACCCAGCAGCTCAGGAATAAGGGTTAGAGGAGAGGGTGACAGATTTGGACTTGAATCACTATCCTTTTATTCCTTTGATTACTAGAAATACTACCTGAGTAGCAGGTTTCTCTGTGAGTGTCATGGGAAGTGCCTAGCACAGAGAAGACCCTTGTCCATGGCAGGGACATGGCATGGATAAAGGAGACCACAGTGGTCTTCCTGGCTTGTCCTCCAGGTTCTTTTGGGTGTTAGTCTGTCTTCCCTCCTTCCCACACTTCCCAGGCTGAGAAGCCCTCTGGGGTTGAGTTTTCTTGGCTTCAGCATTCCAGTTGTCTTTATGCCTCTGTTTCTTTGCCAGGCACAGCCTGACAAGACATCAGTTTTACCTGCAGCTTCGGAAAGATATCCTGGAAGAGAGGCTGCACTGCAACGATGAGACACTGCTGCAGCTGGGGGCCCTTGCCTTGCAGGCAGAGTTTGGCAATTACCCTAAGGAGGTAGGGGCAGACTCCTGGGGCCTTTGGGTGGAGTCCCTGGAGAAGCTATTATGGGGTGTGGGGACTGCTAGTAATGTGGAGACTCTGCCTTGGAGAAGCGTTGTTGGGATCTACCACTGAGATCAGAATAAACTGTATCCATCCAGCCACCCATATACTTGTTCATTCATCCATCCATCCATCCAATCTGCATTTATTGAATGCTCCTTTCTAGGCTCTGAAGGATACAAGAGTGAACAAATCAAATTTATACATTGTGATATAGTTCTAGACCATAGGTCCTTCCTGTATTAATCAGCTTTGTATCCCTACAATGAAATATCCAAAATAGTTGGCTTATAAAGAGAAAAGGTTTATTTAGCTCACAGTTTTGGAAGTTCAAAGTCCAAGATTGCCACCCTCTCCATTGATTTGGCTCCTGGAGAGAGGTGATGGTGGCAGCACATCAATGAGGGAACATGTATGTGGAATAGCTTATAATGCCAAACAGAAAGTCAGAGAGAGAGAGAGAGAGAGAGAATATGAATGAGACTGAGATGCCATGATCACTCCAAGGGCATGCCCCCAATGACCTAAGGGCCTCTCAATAGGTCCCATATTCCAAAGAATCCATGACTTCCCAACAGCATCACTTTGGGGACCAAGCTTTTAAGTAATAATGGACCCTTGGGAATACTCAACCACACCTAAATCACAGTACTCCTAAAAATATTCGTTTACTTATTTATTGAGTTATGATCATCAATAGTAACAGCCAACTTTTATTGAGCAACAATTCTGTACCTCCACTGACCCAGGCATATAATATGGTGTTAGCTCACTGAACTCTCACAGCAACATTGCAAAACTGATATCGTCACTTCCATTTTCTAGAAGAACAATTGTGGCTCAGTGGCTAGTAGGTGTTAGGTATGTGTGGGTCCAAGGTCGGTGCTAGCTCTGCCTGGTTGCACGCCCCTGTGCAACAGCAGACCCATGTGTAACTTTCTTTGATTGAGCTTGCCTGGGGTGGTCCTGTTCTCAGCAAGTTGATAAAGGAGGCTAGTTATTTAATTTGCAGATGCCTGAAGCTTAGGGAGGGACAATACTAATTTATTGTATTTACCTGAGTTAGATTCTAAATGTGGAGCCTGCCAGGAAGGAGAGACCACAAGGTGAGCTGTTACAGAGAACAGTGCAGATTTGCTTTGGGGTTCATGATGTCCCTCACCCATGTTCAGGATGAGGGGGAAGAGGTTTGGCCACAAGCCCCAGCAGAGACCTGGCAGTGTGACATGGTGTCCAAATGAGGAGTCTACCTCATACATCCATAGGAGCAGATGGAGAACAAGAGAGGTGGAGTTCCCACTGATCTCTTCTTGGCTATGTTAGCCACCTTTCTTTAAATGTGACAAAATGCTTCAGATATTCAACTTATTTCAGGAAAGGTTTGTTTTAGCTCATCATTACAGAGACCTGAGTGTATGGTCACTTGGCCCTGTTGCTCTACACAGTACATAATGGCAGGGGTGTGTGATAGAGGAGGTAGCTCACCTCATGGCAGCTGGGACAGAGGGAGAGAGAGACAGAGAGAGAGAGAGAGAGAGAGACAGAGAAAGAGACAGAGAAAGAGAGAAACCCAAAGCCCCTTTCAAGGGCATGTCCCCAGTGACACTACTTTCTACCCGGCCCCACTTCCTAAAGGTTCTACCTCCTCCCAATAGTGTCATAGGCTAGTGACCAGGCCTTTAGCACATGGCCTTCGGGGTAAAATTAAGATCCACACTATAACACCTTATAACGTCTCATCTAGCGTGCTGGGATTTATCTCAGGGGACACGCACCACTGCCATGTGACAAGAGCTGGTGCCACAGAGGAGTGTGGATGAGAAAGATGTTAGCTTGGAGAAAGATGTTCTAGAGAGGACATGAGGGCTGTGAAAGAAGGAAGCCACTGTTCCAAAGGAACCCCACCCTTCTGCCTGAGAAAACTTCAAGAGGACCCTCTAATCCTTGAGAACTGACACATGCTTGCGTCTTGAGTGTTCTCCCACTAGTGTCTACACGTTCCAGGCCACCACCCACCCCAGCTCTCTGGCCCCACAAGTGTACTGGAACCTTCCCTCTATCCTCTGGGCTCCTTTGAGCATCTGCCCCAGACCATGGCCAGCAGAGGCAATCAGTGCTGCCTTGATTACGAGGGACTGACAAGGAAGATTTTTGCTTTGTTTAAGTCTTTAACAGATTTCTTAAAGCCCACTGCTATGGTTTGAATGCATCCCTTGGAAGTTCACACTGACGCTTAGTCTTCATTGTGGTGGCATTAAGAGGTAGGCCTTTGGAAGAGTAATTGACTGTTCAATGGATTGGGCCCTTATAAAACTGCTGGAGGGAACTAGTTCTTTGCCTTTTGCTGTTCTGCTATGTAAGGACATAGCAGCAAGGTGCCATCTTGGGAGCAGAGTACTCTGTAGAGTGCTCACCAGACACCAATGCTGGTGCCTTGATCTTGACATTTATTTATTTATTTAATTTTAAAATTAACCAGTCTGTGGTATGTTGTTATGACAGCCCCAATGGACTAAAACACCCACCAAGATCAGATAGGCAAATCTGCTTTTCTCATTCTACCAACCTAATCTCTAATCTCATCTAAAAGCACCCTAACAGACATACCCAGAATGTTTGACCAAATGTGTGGGCACCCTGTGGCCCAGTTGATACATAAAATTAACTATCACAATGTCCCATTCTGGGGGACACCCCTCATGTCTGTCAGATATCCTGGCTGAGCACACCTGCTTCTGCCTCCCTTTGCCTCCCTCCACTTCCTGCTCCACACCTCTGGATCCATGCCCTTTGTGTCCATATGCTCTCAGTTGCCCCGTGTGATCTAAAAAGGCAGATCATTTTCCTTTCTTGGGTGTGAATGCCACAGGTTATGCCAACCCATCCATTTGGGCATCCATTCACTTAGTTCAAATTTACAGAGGGCCTGTTCTATGCTTGGTACCATCTAATCCTTACATTAACACCAAAAATTCATAGTTAAGAAAACTGTAACTCTGAGGTTGGGTGAGTTAATAAGAGGCCAACCAGGATTCACATCTAGTGATTGCTTGGGTATATTCCTAGCAAGGAGGTGCTAGGTCAAAGATCCTAAATGCTTTTCAAAAAAATGTTTTAATAAACTCTATTTTTTAAGAGCTGTTTTAGTTTCACAGCAGACTGAGTGGAAGATACAGAGATTTCCTGCACACCCCTGTTTATAGACCATCCCCAACCATCACTATGGATATCCTGCCAAATTTTGACAATCAACAAATGCACACTGATACATCAGTATCACCCAGAATCCACAGTTTACTTGCCCACTTCTCTATGTGCCAGGTGCTAGAGCAGGCACATCAAACAGCAGTAAGAGAGTATGTTAGTTTTCCATTGCTGTGACAAATTACCTGTGATAATCAACTTATAAGGAGGAAGGGTTCATTGAGCTCATGGTTTCAGAGGTTTCAGTTCATGGTCACTTGACTTGTCACTTTGGGTCTGTGATGGAACGGTATATCATGGTGGAAGAGGATGCTCACCTCATGGTGAACAGAGAAAAATGAGAGAGAGACAGACACACAGACAGACAGGAGTCCAATATCCTTTTCAAAGGCATGCCTTCAGTGTCCTAACTTCCTCTCACATGGCTCCACCTTGTAAAGGTTCTGCCCCCTCCCAATAGCACCACGGACTGGTGAGCAAGCCTTGCACACATGGCCTGTGGGGACATTTAAGAACCTAAGCATACCAGGGAGGCCTCAAAGGGGAGAGAGGCTGCCCATCCAGCCATCCAGGGAGCTTTGGGGATTTCACTGTGGCCAAGCTTGTGGCTCTGAGGCGGTCTAGATACTGTCCATCATATCTGGGAGGACTTAGTGTGCTCTGCTAAGGGGCTCATGTTTTGTTTGATAAGTGGTTCTGGTGCTGAGGGAAAATTGACTTGAAAACCACTGTTGTGAAAGATTGGGGCCCCTGCGGAATTTTAAGCAGGGAGGTAGCATGATTACATTTGCATTTTAAAAAGGGAGACAAAGACAATTTAGTATAAAAATAAATCTCCTTAATCACATCATCACAGCAGAACGACATTCCTCTGGGCACCAGCCTTGATCACATGCAGGGTGTTGTGCAGCTGTAAACATTGCCATGTTTGATTTGCCTTCTGGTTTCTCACTCTGTGGTCTGTGTCCTCCCATGGCTTCCTGATGGTCGTGGGCAGCGGCTGCGTGTTATTTATCACTCTCCAGGGTGGTCTCCCTTCCCTGTTCCCTTACTGTCAGGGATTCACCTGATCGAGCCATGTTAAGGGGTAATTAATATTATTATTGCTCGACTTGTTCTGATCTTTCTCTTTTATAAATGACACAGAAATGTAGCATGTAAGGTGCATGTCAACTTATTCTCTTAGATTTACTCCTAGCAAGAGATGCTGAGTCAAAGGTCCTAAATGCTTTTTGTTCCTCACAAATGTTTTACTAGACTATTTTTTAGAGCACGTGTTAGTCTGCTTTCCATCACTGTGGCAAAATACCTAACTTGCTTCCACTAGGCTCCACCTCCTAAAGGTTCTATCACCTCCCCACAGTACCACAGGCTGGGGACCACGCCTTTAACAATTGGGCCTTGGGAGGACATTTAAGATACAAACCATAACAGAGCAGTTTCAGGTTCACAGCAAAATTGAGTGGAAGATATAGAGAGTTCCCATAAACCCTCCCCCACCTCTGGCCCATATACATGCATAGCTTCACTTATGAACAATAGAAACATCTTGTGCCAGAAAGCACATTAGTTACAGTCAACAAACCTAGGTTGAATCATTGGTGTCAACCGGAGTTCATGGTTGAGACTGGGTTCATACTTGGTGTTGCATATTTTATGGGCTTTGATAAATGCATAAAGGCATTTATGTGCCATTAAAGCAGCATGCAGAACAGTTTTTATTGCCCTAAAAATCCTCTGTGCTCCTCCTATTCATTTCCCTTCCCCACTAATCACTGGCAACCACTGATCTCTTTACTGTCTCCATAGCAGAATGTCACATGGGTGGAACCATACAACTTGTAGCATGTTCAGAAAGGCTTTTCTCATAGCAATACACTTTTAGGATTCCTTCATGTCTTTTCATGGCTTGATAGCTTTCTTCTTTTTAGTGCTCAGTAATATTCCATTCTCTGAATGTATCACAGGTTGTTTATCTACTCACCCACTGAAGGACAGCTTTTGCTTCCAAGTTTTGGCAGCTGTGAGTAAAGCTGCCATAAACATTCATGTGCAGTTTTTTGGTGCATTGCTGGGGATTGAGCCTATGGTCTCATACATGCTAGGCAAGTGCTTTACCACCAGCCCTATATGTAGGTTTTTCTGTGGACACAAGCCTTTGACTCTTTTGGGGTAAATAGCAAGGGGCACGATTGCTGGATCCTATGGTAAGAGTATATTTAGTTTTATAGGAAGCTGCCAGGCTGTCTCCCAAAGTAGCTGAGCCGTTTTACATTCCACCAGCAGTGAGCAAGAGTTCCTGTTTCTCCACAGCCCCCCGCATATGGTGTTGTCACTGCTGTGCCTTTTGGCCAATCCAATAGCAATGGAAATGTTTTCTATGCACTAGACGGCCCAGAACTAGGCTAGGCCAGCACCAAACTGGAGGGCTGTAGGATTCTCAGCCCATGGTCACATGGGACAAGCCTATGCCATGGCAGGAACATGGGATGTGTTGGACACTGTGGTGTCAGGCTGACTGTCCCACACCCTGCCAGGAGAAGGCCTGATTCTCCCAGCTGCCTTTGTCAGAGGTAACTGCCCTCGGAACTGGGGGGAAGTGACTTGCCCAAAGGTAGGCTGGCAGGGTTGCCTTAAGACCAGGATGAGTTGATTCAGGAACATGAAAGTAGGGTAGCTTCTGACTCTGCGCAGCCTTGCCTGCCTCATTCTTCACAATGAGTCTGAACTGCTCATCTATGAACTTCATCCTACTCCTCTCTGCTCTAGTCTGGGTTCAGGGACCCCACATCAGGTCATAGGTGATGCTGATCTTCCAGCCTCTAAAAAGCAGACTCAAAGAAGATTGAGGCCTAGGGTGGCATGGAGGTATGTGGTCTTTTCTTCCCTAATACCTTCTGGTGTCACAGATGAGATCTCCCTCATAAGAAGGTACCACGTACTAGGAGCACATGTCAGCAGAAATGTGTATTAAAAGAAGCAATGTCTTAGGGCTAATGTTTTTCTGTGGCTTTTGGGAAGTGTTGTGGCATCAAGGAATGTGTGGGAGTTTTGGGTACACAAATCTTGTTTCTATCACTTACAAGCTGTGAGACCTTTGTGAAATGACTTCTCTCCTTGTTTATCTTGGCAATGGCAGAAATATTGCCTCTCTCATAGGATTTTCCTGAGGATCAAAAGAGCCTACTGAGTCCTACCTAGTGTAGTGAAGGGGCTCAAAAATGTGTGGCTGCTTCTCTTCCTTCAATTCATGTCATGGGGTTTGGCCCTGCTTCTAGTAGGTAGAGCATGATGTTCCAGTGGAGCACCTCAAAGCCACCTCCTTGCCCAGTGGCCTGATGGGATTGTGCCTACACACGTTTCTGTTCTGCTTGGAATCCCCCCAAAAGGCTTGAGTAAGCTCCTTTCCCCTGCAACTTGTTCCCTGCAGGTGGACAGTAAGGCATATTTCCGAGTTGAAGATTACGTCCCGGCAAGTCTGATAGAGAGAATGACAGCTCTTCAGGTCCAAGTTGAAGTCTCAGAGATGCACCGGCTCAGTTCTGAGCTGTGGAAGCGGATGCTGAGATGGAGTTCTTGAGGGTGAGGCCTTCTGGATTTCAAGACGTGTTGGCGTGCAAGGAATGCAGGCAGCAATCCTCTCTAAGCCTTTTGTGGCTCAGAAGTGGCTCAGACATGAAAGGAGGTACAGGTAAGGGCCTCAGGATGCAGAAAGAAGCCCACATCACTCTGAGGAAGATGCTTGTGGCATTGGAAATGACCTCAAAGATAGGTAGGACTTAGTGGGCTTGGCTGGGGGCTGTGGGGCTTTTCTTCAGCTTTAGAGCAGCACTTGTTTGTGAAAAAGGAGACCACATTTTTCATATGTGGCCCATAGGACAATTGAAGTATGAAACTGGGGTGTGAGCCAGAGCAAAGCCATGGAAGACCTAGTGTGCACCTTCTGGGCAACTGACCTCACCTAGCACAGCAGGTGTGGTCCATGCAGATGGGTGTGGCTCTGTGCCACCCTCTCTTCACCTCTGGAGCAAAAGCAGCCACATCTCATTCCCCAAGTGTTCATGGGTACCCATAGTGATTAATACCTTTGTTCATTCCCAACCTCCCTTTGCTGTGGGTCAGTTCCAGTGGGGAATGTGTCAAGAAGCATATGCTCCCTGCCCCTAGTGGGGCCCTGGTCTCAGAATGAGAGACATGTCCCCAGAGACAGGCAATACTCTGATAAACAATTAGTGAAAACACCACCAAAGACAAGATGGGACCAGGGAGGGCACTGCAGGGTGAATAAAAGGGTGGTCCCCAGATCTTCCAGGACAGGGTATGTGGCTGGACCTTTGGATTGCGGGTGGCCAGTTTTGAAAGGAAGCATGGTGATTTTACACATTTTTCTGTAAATAAGTCTCCAACTTTGGGTAGAACTAGTCTGTTCATGTTTTCTTGCCTTTAACAGAGACAGGTGCTTGAAAGCAGAGCTAGTAAGGGAGGCCTGGCCTTTTCTTTTTGGCCAGGCATTTATCAGAACTGTCTCAACTCCTGCAATGGGGTCAGCCAGCAAGTGTTTCACTGGAGAAGACCTGACAGAAATATGCTTGGTCATTCCATAGTCCAGTCTCATGCATGTTCTTTGTCAAGTGGATGTAGCATGGCCATGATGAGGGACAAGTGGAGTCTTCAAAGCCATCTGATGATGAGTGGCCACAGAACTGAAGAACTGAGCCAAGAGACCAAGGACTCCACCCTATAGGACACTCCTACAGCATGGGATGCTGCCTGATGACCTCTCCCACGTCCAGCTTGCTGTGCCAGGATCTGCCCAGTCCTTCCCAGATTTGATGGTAAAAAATGACTTCAAAAGCAGTTGCCATCTAAGAATCACAAAGCAGAACACTGTTTCTTTCCAGTCTTTCATGGACAGCAGTGACTAGACTTGATTTCATTTGCATGCAGTCTTCAATGGTATCAAGAAATACTTGGCTTTCACACTTCCCTTTGGTGGTCTGACTGGAGATGCTATTGCTATAGGCTTAACTGTCCTTGGTGCAGAGAGATGACACAGAGGGTGTGGTTGCCCCCAGAAGACACTGGAGCCCTCCGCTTACTATGCAAGTTTGTTAAACAAATTCCTTTGCCCTTCCTAATTATAAAAGTAAATACCCTCATCATTCTGCCCCACAGAGCTAGTGCACTTGCTTTCTGGTACATTCACCCTTTTCTGTTCTGTGTGTTCCTATCTAACCATATATACATATATATTTAAAAGTGGGTTTATAAGACATCTCCAAAAAATGAGAACTGTAGGCCAATCTCCTTAATGAACATCAATGCAAAAATCTTCAATAAAATAATGGCAAACCAAATCCAACAACACATCAGAAAGGTCATCCACCATGACCAAGTTGGCTTCATCCCAGGGATGCAGCAGTGGTTCAACATACACAAATCTGTAAATGTAATACAGCACATCAATAGAAGCAAAGATAAAAACCACTTGATCATCTCAATAGATGTAGAAAAAGCCTTTGACAAGATCCAACACCACTTCATGACAAAAGCTCTAAGAAAACTAAGAATAGAAGGAAAGTACCTCAACATTATAAAGGCTATATATGACAAACTTACAGCCAGCATCATACTTAATGATGAAGAACTGAAACCATTTCCTCTAAAATCAGGAATGAGACAAGTGTGCCCACTATCCCCATTCCTATTCAACATAGTATTGGAATTCCTAGCCAGAGCAATTAGGCAAGAAGAAGAAATAAAAAGAATACAAATAAGTAAAGAAACTGTCAAAATCTCCCCATTTGCAGATGACATGATCCTATACCTTAAAGACCCAAAAAAACTCCACCCAAACACTCCTAGACACCATAAACAGCTACAGCAATGTGGCAAGATACAAAATCAACTTACAAAAATCATTAACTTTTCTATATACCAGTAACAAACAAATTGAGAAAGAATCTATGGAAAAAATTCTATTTACAATAGCCTCAAAAAAAAATCAAGTACCTAGGAGTAAACTTAACAAAGGATGTGAATGACCTCTACAAAGAGAACTACAAACCCCTGAAGAAAGAGATTGAGGAAGACTACAGAAAGTGGAAAGATCTCCCATGCTCATGGATTAGTAGAATCAACATAGTAAAAATGGCTATACTACCGAAAGCAATCTACATGTTTAATGCAATTCTCATCAAAATCCTAATGATATTCATCACAGATACTGAAAAATCTACCCTAAATTTCATTTGGAAACACAAGAGACCATGAATAGCCAAGGCAATACTCAGCAAAAAGAGCAATGCTGGAGGTATCACAATACCCGTCTTAAAATTATATTACAAAGCAACAGCAATAAAAACAGCATGGTACTGGCACAAAAACAGATATGAAGACCAGTGGAACAGAATTGAGGACCTGGATATGAATCCACACAGCTGTGCCCACCTGATTTTTGACAAAGGCACCAAAGACATATGATGGAGAAAAAAAAGACAGCCTCTTCAACAAATGTTACTGGGAAAAGTGGTTATCTGCCTGCAGAAAAGTGAAACTAGATTCATGTCTATCACTCTGTACTAGTATCAACTCAAAATGGATCAAGGACCTTAAGATCAGACCCAAAACTCTGAAGTTAGTAGAGGAAAGAGCAGGGAATATTCTGAAAGGAATAGGTATAGGCAAGGACTTCCTCAATAGAACCCCAGCAGCTCAACAACTAAGAGAAAGGATGGACAAATGGGCCTTCATAAAACTAGAAAGCTTCTTCACAACAAAAGAAATGGTCTCTAGACTGAAGAAATTCCCCCACAGAGTAGGAGAAAATATTTGCCAGCTAAACATCAGACAAAAGACTGATAACCAGAATATACAGGGAGCTCAAAACACTAAACTCCCAAAATCAATGAACCAATAAAGAAATGGGCAACCAAACTAAACAGAACTTTTTCAAAAGAAGAAATTCAAATAGCCAAAAAAAACACATGAAAAAATGCTCACCATCTTTGGCCATAAAGGAAATGCAAATCAAAACCACACTGAGATTCCACCTCACCCCATTCGAATAGCCATCATCAAAAACACCACCAAAACAGGTGTTGGAGAGAATATGGGGAAAAAGGAACCCTAATCCACTGCTGGTGGGAATGCAAGCTAGTGCAACCACTCTGGAAAAAAATAGGAAGGCTTCTTAAAAACCTAAACATAGATCTGCCATATGATCCAGCAATCCCACTCCTAGGGATATACCCAAAGGAATGCGACTCAGGTTACTCCAGAGACACCTGCACACCCATGTTTACTGCAGCACTATTCACAATAGGCAAGTTATGGAAACAGCCAAGATGCCCCACTACTGACGAATGGATTAAGAAAATGTGGTATCTATACACAATGGAATTTTACTCAGCCATGAAGAATGAAATTTTATTATTTGCAAGTAAATGGATGAAACTGGAGAACATCATCTTGAGCGAGGTTAACCAGGCTCAGAAGACCAAAAATCCTATGTTTTCCCTCATATGTGGACTTTAGATCTAGGGCAAATGCAGCAATGTTGTTGGACTTGGGTCACACGCTAAGGGGAGGGTGCATACGGGAGGAATGGGGATAGGTAGGAAACCCAAACATTAAAGTGTTTGATGTCCCCACTGCAGAGGAGCTAATACAGTAACCTTAAAGCGACAGAGGTCAATATGGGAAGGTGACAGGGAAGTAGTGAAGAGGTCAGGTGGAGATGAACCAATTAGGGTTGTAATACACATTTGCATGGAAGCAATGCTAGGAATCTCTCTGTATAGCTATCCTTATCTCAAGTAGGAAAAATGCTTTGTCTTTCTTACTATTGCTTATGTCTACTCTTCAACAAAATTGGAGAGAAGGTTCTGCCTGGAAGCGAGGTGAGTGGGGGAGTGGGAGGGGGCGGAGGACGGGGGGTAGAAATGGCCCAAACAATGTATGCACATATGAATACATGAATAAAGAAAAAAAAGTGGGTTTATAATATAGACATACATTTATGTATTCATATAATCCCACATCGCTAAATTTTTGAATCAATATACACTTTGCCCCCTAATGCTCTATTGTTTGACATACAAATTGTTTCCATCCTGAACTATTGTAAACAATACTGAGCTTGCCATTTTTCTATGTCAATGTTTAGCCATATTTCTGCTTAATTTGTTAGTGGTAGAATCTCACTAGCAGAGTGATGGGTCAGAGGTAGTGAGCAATTTCAATATCGTTGCCGCACAGTGCCGAGACACCCTGCATCCCAGTCACATCTTTCTTCTCCTCCACAAGGCTGTAAATGGCTGAAGGGCCCTGGATCTTCAGAGCCCATTGCAGAGCTGTTGCCCCATAAACAGTCACTGGATTATTTAATCACAGCTCCCCTTTGCTCTTCTTTATCTTTTTTTTTTTCAAAAAGAGGAAACAATTCCCATACCTGCTGGGGCTGGTAGAGTTCATAGACACTGATCTCTGCTAGTTCATCACCTTACACTAGAAGCAGACCTGGCAGCAGGCCAGTGTGGGTGCTGTTGAGTGCCACCCTCTGTCTAGAAGATTCACAGCTATATAAGCATGTTAACCCAGAACAACCTGTTAAAGGTCAACTCACTGTTTTTCAGACTTCCTCAACCATGGAACCATTTTCCCATACAACTAGGGGCTGTGATGTGTAAGGAAATTTTTTTCTCTGTTGGAATCATATTGGTTATAGCCTACATTTCCTCCACTTAGCATTACAATAAATACATTCCCCAGATTATTGAAAATGCTTTGTGAAAGTCCTTTGTAAGGGCTGCCATCTACTTTGAGGCAGTTCTGTCTTTAGAAAACCATTTGCCACTTGGGAGCTGGGCCCTCAACCTAATCCTGCAAGTCTTCACTGAACAGCATTACGAGAAGGACTTGTCTCAAGATTCAACATGTTTTCTCAGGACAGAGTCTCAGAAGTGGAATTATAGGGTCAATGCATATGAATCACTGTGAATTCCTATCTGGAAATAACAATCCACTTACTTCTGACAGTTTTTAGAACAGCAAGCAAGGGTGCAGTGAGGAGCTCTGGTTCCAGTCTCACTTTGCTGTGCACTGTAGGAGGACAGGGGACCCTAGTGGATGGTCCTGAGCACATGTGGAGGAGGTGATCCTCTGAGAGGAGTACCCATGTGGCATGGGTGAGGAACGGCACCATGGACAGTTGATGTCATTATGTATTTTGTACACATTGAAGATGCTCATGATGATGACATGAGGCATATTCACCTGTGTGTCCAGTCTTTATGGATACCCAGAGGTTTAGTCGTTGTGAGTGAAGACTGGGGAGCTATCAGGCTCATCTGTCCATGTCCCCATCCTGCCTCGTGAGTGGGAACTTGGACAGGTCACTTGGCCCAGCTGAACACTTTGTCTCTCAAATGTACCCAGTTGGAGAATTTATCCCCGGACATTTGTATCAAGCATACTGAAACTAAAAGTCAAAACAGCATATTCACTAACAGGAAATTGTTCTTAATATATGTAGTAAAAGGGGATTGAAAACACTATTTTCAAATTGATTGTGCCACATAAATTCAGCAAAATATGACCCAACACAGCAGCATTGTTCTCCTGTCCTGTATGTGACTTTACATTTGCTCCAATAGGATTTGATGTTTGGGATGGATTCTGTGCTAGTCAGCTTTCTAGTGCTGTGACAAATACCCAAGAACAACCTAAAAAGAGGGTTTTGGCTCATGGTTGCAGTCCATGCTTACTTGGCTCTGTTGTTTCTGGGCCTCTGGTGAGGCAGAGCATCACGGTGAAAAGAGTGATGCTCACCTCATGGTGTACAGGAGCCAGGTAAGGGGACAGGAACAAAATATACCTTTCAAAGGCATGCCCCTAGTAACCTACTTTCTCCAACTAGGTCCCATCTCCTAAAATTTCCACTACTTTCCAATAGTACTGCCAGCTGTGGAGCAAGCCTTTCAACACATGAGTTTTTTGGGGACATCTCCCATCCAAAGCACAGCACAGTCCAAGAGGTGACACAGAGCAGAATCTGGTATCATTTTGGGAAAGCTGAGCATGTTGGACACCAAGGGGAGGCTGAAAGCTATTACCCACAGCCCACAACTCTGAGTGAACAGTAGAGACAGGCTTAACTGTGTGTTGTAAGATATGCAAAGTTTGGGCAGAATAGTCGCCAATAATTCCCAAACAGCCAACAGCTGGCTACCGGGTGTTATCTATGGTACCAAATCCTTGTTTCTCTCTCCTGCGCACAGATGCAATGATACTTGAATTTGTGGTTAAGACAGGACGTGCCAATGTGCAAGTAATGGCCTGGAGCGTCAAACTGCATCAGATGGGTGCAAAGTAATTCTTCCATGCTTTTGGACAACTCTGCAATATTAAGCACAGCAGGGATGGAGTTCCTGTAACCGCAGTAGCCACTTTCTCTGTGATTTGCGTAGACCATAAGAGAGAAGCTGAAGCTGCATTTTCAGGGAAATGTTAGAGTTTGTGAAAAAAGTTTCCTTTCATCTGAAGCATTTGACCTGCAGAGACAAATTGTTCAATTGATTTGATAACTTAACCCACTGTGATTCCATTTTCTCCTTTGAAAAGAGACAGTCACACCTATCTCTTATGATTGCTGTGAAGACTAGGTAGCAGTGCATGGGAAATGCTTAGCAGGAAACGTAATCAGGTGAAGAATTTTGGGATCCTTGGTATTGAAGTATCATATCCCTCTCAGTATAATTAAAAAATAAAAGAAGCTGGGTGCAGTGACTCACATCTATAATCTCAGCTACTCAGGAGGCAGAGATTAGGAGGATCATGGTTTAAGGCCAGCCCAGGCAAAAAGTTAATGAGACCCCATCTTAACAAATAAACCGGGCATGGTGGCCATAATCCCAGCTATGTTGGATGCAATAGTTAGGAGGAGTTCTGTCAAGGCTGACCCAGAAAAAAAACACAAGGCCTTATCTGAAAAATAACCTTGGCTGTGGCTCGAGTGGCAGAGTGCCTGCCTTCCTAGCAAAGTGTGAGGCCCTGAGGTCAAACTCCATTTTCACCAAAAACCAAATAAATATTAAAGAAAATAAAAAGCTACTAGTAAACAATTTTAAAAGTATAAGCAAGTTTAGCAATGTCATCTTGAGTCTTGTGAAAACTACTTTAATACTTTAAAATTGTTTTTCAGAAATGTCTCATCAGGGCTGGGCACAGTGGCTGATGTCTGCAATCCCAGCTATGCACAAGGTGGAGATAGGAGTATCCTAGTCCAGGCAAAAAGTATGAGACCTTATCCAAAAAATAGCTACAGCAAAAACCATGCAGGGTGGCTCACGTGGTAGAGCACCTGCCTAGCAAGTGTGAGGCCCTGAGTTCAAACCCGCATATGTGCAAAAAACAATACCAAAAAAACCCCTCATCAAATATTTGAAAGAATTCATCAAATTGTTTTAGGGCAGCTCTGCGTTGTCATTCTGTAACTACGTGACAAACCTGAGCATGGCTGTTTAAGCACCAGTGCTTTGTGTGTAAGTGTTGTGGTGAGGGTGAAAATGAGGATGACAGTGACAATGAGAACAGTACTCAGTGTCCAGGTGTTTAATCAGACCCCAGGGGGTTTGCAGACAACACCACCAGTCTGCAGAGATTGTCACAGGAGAGGGGTCAGCAATGAGCCTAGGAAAGATTGACAAAAACTATCATTTTTCCCTGTTTTTGTAACCATGCCTGGGGGTGAAAGAGATTAAATAGACAGGACCCCGCACACTGCTTGGGGGCAGAGATGGAGTACAGATCTCACAGATGCAACCCTTCTGATAGGTTTCAAGTATGTAGATCAGGACACTCTTGCCCAGGTCCATGTGCATCAACCTTCTGATGAGGAATGGAGTCTCCCCAGCGCAGATAAAGATGACAGAGCCCAGGATGGAGACGTGACTACCATTCAGACATTAAAACGTTTCTGTTACATTTATGCTCCAAATTCTTTTAAGAATTCAGTTGGCTTGATGAAGTGTCCAGCTCTCATTGGCCCTCAGCCCCTGGCAAAATTCAGTTTCCTAACCTGGTACACTGAGGAGAGCCCTGGGGTTGTGGAGAGCCTATGGAGGCATTGCTGCCAGGTTAGAAATGCCTACGGGATGGACTATTTTTTTCTGCAAGGTGTTCATGGCTCAGTTTGCTTTGACAGTGAAGTTAGTGACCCGGATGTTTCCTTTCTATGTCTGGGCCTCAGTTTTTCTGACTGTTACATGAAGAGGTTGAACCAGTAGACTATGATTGACACAATTGGGAAAAAGACTCCTTACCTTAAGATGTCCCAGGACAGTCTGAATTCTAGAAAACTTGTTCAGAATATTATTCTGCTGGATCTTATTTGTAAGGTTGCATTCCAAGTGTTGTTTTAGGTACTCCACAAATAATGAATTCCTTGGGTTAAAAGAAAGAAAAAAGAAAAATGCTATCATATCAGAGGTGCAGATGCATTCCAGAGTAAGAAAATAGGTTTGACTGAGTGTTTCTTGAGTTTTATTTGGCAACAGTAAGCCATCTAATGCATTCTTTGTGAGGTGGTTTGAGGCCCAGTGCACTCCGCTCTCCTAAATTGGCCTTTTCTTGCTCCAGGTCACTCAGCAGCTCCCGGACTATGGAGTGTTGGTGCACCAGGTTTTCCCAGAGAAGAAGAGGCTGGAAGGGGAGATGGCCTTGGGGGTCTGTGCCAAAGGTGTCATAGTCTATGAAGTGAAAAACAACAGCAGAATTGCGACTGCATGGTTTCTGTGGAGAGAAACTGGGAAGATTTCAACTTGTGTGAGTGCAGCTCTGTTGATAAGTGAACCCTGCTTTGTTTTCCTTTGTTCAGTAGCACCTTTAAAGGAGCAATGGCTATGTGAATTTCTCTTGACAAATACACTCACAGCCTGTCATCTGTAGCCCATATTCTGATGCATTGGGGGTATTTGGGGGGAGTCTACCACTGGATTTTGGGAGGTGCACAGGAGGCAATTTCTTCCTTCCATCCCTCCCTAGTCCCCTCAGGAGCCCCAAGGATCGCTGTCAGCCTTCAGGGTTCCACTTGCCCTCTGGACAGTTTCCTTCACTGGGGAATGCATCTATGTTGAGAGCAAGGCGGAGGTGAGAGTTGGAGGAGGAGAGAATGGAAGATTGAGTACAGTCTGCACAGTTTTGAAACATTTTCTTTGTGTGTTCATTTTCCCTCTGCACAGTGTGCCCAGGCACCTGGTCTGTGTCTCATGGACCACAGGTATACTACAGGGCACTGAGGATTGAAGGCTTTTGATGGCCATTGAAATTTAAAAGCCTTAAAAAAAGCAAAACAGAAAATCCCTATTAAGCATACAGTATCTGAAGGGGCACTTGAATGCTATTTGTGTGAATATTTATACTTCCTGAAGTTAGTTCCTATCAATGTGGCACTGGACCCTGGTAGCTGATTGTCCTGCCTGTCTTGTGGATCATCTAGGACAATGTTCACACCATTTCCTGCCCATTCACTTTAAGACAAAGTTTTTTGTCTTGTGGCCCATGAAAAAATTTAATTTTCTCTTTATTTAAAATTTTCTACTAACTGGATCACTGTTGTATCATTATCTGCTGTTAGTGTTCTCTAGTAGAACATAATTGCTTTTATCAGGTTTCTTTTGTGCCTTCCATCCTGACTTTTGAAGTTAACATACTGTTAAAGTCTGAACTAGCTGGGCACTGATGGCTTGTGCTGTACTCCTGTCTACTTGGGAGGCTGAGATCAGAGGGACTGCAGTTTGAGAGCAGCCAGGCAAATAAGTTTGAGAGACCCCACTCCAAAATAACCAGAGCAAAATGGACTAGTGGTGTGGCTTGAGTGGTAGAGTGCCTGCTATATAAGCACAAAACCCTGAGTTCAAATCCCAGTTCTACCAAAAAAAAAAAAGAAAGAAAAAACACTATGCTCTGTAATAGAATTCCATAATCAATTATCATTTGTCTTTAGGAAAGTGAAGCTTACATCTAAAAATACATAGTAATTGAGCATAATTTGAATGGTCTGTATGTTAACAGGAAATTGGAAATTGACATTTTCCTTGATCTTTTTGACCAAACTTAAATATAAACAATATTTACGTTCACGAATTCCTCAGAATTTTAATTACATGAATTACTTTAACTCAAGACATTTGTAAAAATGCAGGTACTCTAAATAGCAGTTTTGAAAAATGGATTCTTTTGAGGCCATAGTGTTCACAGCCCCTTTAAGTAAGTACTTTATGAATCGGTTTGATTTGTATAGACATTTATTTTTCCTACTACCAGGGACAATTTCTGATTAAAGCTGGGAAGTCATCAGGTTCAAGACAAACTCAAAGCTTAAGAAAAAATTAGTTAATTAGAATTTCCATCCCCCAGTGATCATCTTCTTTCTTGGCTCAAATGATTTACTTTCCTGGAAAAGTTGTTACATGAAGGAATGTCACCAGCTGCCTGCCACCAGCCAAGCATTTTCCACAGAAAATGACTTGAACTTTTTATGCTTTTGCAAGTACAAAACAGGGAGCTCTGTGAATAATGTGAGAATTAGTTCAGGAAGCTAATTTCAATTTTGTTTACTAATAGCTGAACAAATAGTTGAACAAATACTACAAGTATCACAAAAGTCAGAAAATAATACTTTTATTTCCTTCCTGAGAAAGTCAGGAAAAAGTTGTTTCGTTTTTTTTTCTCCAAATTTTTGATGGCATATTCTTTGGTTATTTTTTCATATGATGAAGTTTTGTAACATCATTTTATTTTCTTGAGAGAATAGAAACACAGTTTAGTCTTTCTTCTAGCATAGCTGATTGAAATTTGTTTTTATTATGGGTAGGATGATGAAAACATGCAACTTTGCATAGAGACATGCTTGCACTGAAACACATTCCAAGCACCAAATGCAGGAAACCTAACAAATTCTATTTTATGTGATTCCTATCAAAAGAAAAATAGACGTGGTGCATTAATAATGTCGTATGTATACAACTTCACTTAATTGGGTGTTTTCAGAACTAAATTAAAGCTTTTAATTTCTGATGATTGTAAAAATGTCCCTCAGACCAGCTCCTGGCTCTGTACATGTCAACCCCCTTAGGTGTTGGGTAATGTACAGTAAGGTCAATTTCATATGGCCTCTGGCTCTGTATTTTTGTGCTGAGACCTGGGTGAGTCAGCCCAAAGGAAGGGAAATTCAAGAGGCCTGGCAACAATGTAACTATTGCAAAAGAGACTGCAAGTCACATGAATAAATCCTACTAAATGTAGCCTCATGTCAGTTTCTCCTTAGAGGGATCTGCTCTCAAAAGGCCCTCCCTGCCCTGTATGATGGTGTGAAGTAGGAAGGAGGGTATGTTAGCTTTTTGTCACTAAAACAAAATACCTAACATAATTAACTTATACATAGGAAAGATTTTGGCTCACAGGTTCCAGTCTGTAATTATTAGCTGTGTTGCTTTGGGTCTGTGATCAGGCAGCACATGTAGGAGGGTAGGGCAAAGCAAAACCACTTACATTATGGCCAGGGATCAAAGGAGAGGGGGAAAAGGTGGGTCCTTACTTTTTATCTCCTTTGACCACAAGTCCTGTTGACCTAACTTCCTTCCACTAGGCCCTACCTCCAAAAGGTTACTACCTCCCAATAGCACCATCATGGGAACAAATACTGCATTGGTCTGCATTGGTGGACATTTAAGATCCAAACTGTACAGGAGGGGAAGTCAGGGGACAAAGTAGAATCAGTGGTCTGGACTGACTGTGGTGGGAACACGTTTTTGTTTTTGTTTTGTAGATACTAGGGATAGAACCCAGGGCTTGGTGCTCTACCACTTGAGCTCTGCCCCAGTCCCTTCCACATTTCACAAGACCATGAATGCACTGTCAAGGCCACCCCCAGGAAAGGGTCTGCCCAAGGGAGGGCACTGGAGCCTTAGCACCATGAACGTCACTGCAAATTTTCCTCAATCTGGAAGATTATCATTGCTTGAGAAGATATATCAAAACAAACAAGAAAACAGGGGAACAAACAGCCATGACAATAAAACTGCTGGGGAAAGTGGTAAACTGATGCTTTGAAACAGGCACGATGGTGCAGAAGCTCCTAGAATGTGCACCCACATGGGCCTAAAGAAAGGTTTTCATGTTTGTGCTGAAAGTTACACAGCATCTTCTTTACAGAGCTGCTGGCTCAGGAGAAAGTTTGCTGCAGATATGAACTTCCCATTAAATGATGTCATCAAAGTGGTGATAAGTAGAAAGAAAATCCAAACCACTATTGTCAAGACTGTTTTTAGCTTTGCACCAAGCTAAACGGCTATACTGATCTCTGTGTTCCATCCTTTAAAGCTCTGGCATCCCATGGGAGAGTACTGTTGACACATTACGAACTGAGAGAAACTCTGGGGTGTGTGTGTGTGTGTGTGTGATTACCCCTTTTTAGATTTGTTCAAGAACAGTTATTAGATTTTAAGATGTTATTTGGTTTTCTAAAGTTTTTAATACTTGAGCTTAATATAAGATCATCAGGAGTGTAAGGAAGCGTATCAATGTGTACTGATAAGGTGCATGAATTCTCAGCAAATATTCAACTTTGGAAAACTGTGGACAAAATGATCAATTAAAAACTAAGGGAGAATTATTAAGACCAGTATAGCAATATGTATGAATTCTTGAGCAACTACATTATTTGAAGAAATGCTAGATACTGCACGGTTCAATTGGATTCAGAATCTGTTTATAGTGAGGCAAGGAAGCTCAGGGCTATGTTTGTTGATAAAATTATTGAGTATTTTATTATCATTTTTTGGCAGTGCTGAGGTTTGAACTCAGGGCCTCATGCTTGCTGGGTAGGCACTCTTAATGCTTGAGCCATACCCTACCCCCAGAGTATTTGTAAATAATTCAACTACCTAAAATTAGGCTAATGCTGAAAAAGAATTTCTCAGAGGAAAAGCAATGAATAGTTATCTGCCTTTTGGTAATAGCTGACATGTGAATGGAGTTTCTTAGAAATGGTGAACATCAGGAGTTAAAACAGAACAGCCTTCGGGAGGATCAGGAATTCTCTCAAGCATGAACCCTATTTTTATAAAGTTATCTTTATAGAAGCAAGCTCAAGGTTCTTGTTGAAATATACAGAATATCTAGAATAGAGATTTAATTTGGAATTTATATATAAGTTCATGTTCAGTGTCACCCTTATGACTTTGTTCTCATTACAATTATATATTTCAAAAAGTCATGACTCTGTCCACGAAGGTCCATGTAAATTGCCCCCTGTAGTACTGCAGTAATATCATTTTAGACAGTGAGCTATATAAACTTTGTCATTTTGCATGTGGACCTTGAAGCTATAATGTAGAGAAGCATTTCTTGGTGGTGAGGCCTCATTTCCTGCTGCACTATGAGAACACTCTTGCTGTGTGCATCTTCTTTGGTAGGATAAAGATCTGATAGAACCTCCCTCATTCTCCAGCTCTGAAGACAGAAAGAATTAATACTCATGAACCTGGCATAGAGGTGTAACTGGGGGTGCCAGTCTTTTGTGTAGGATAGAAATCAGGCTCAGACTAGTTCTAAAGTGAAAATAAGGGAAAATTTACTGTCGAAAAGAAGCATTGCAGGCTGTCCCCAGAGTAGCCATGAATGAAGATATGCATTTCATTTTATGGGGAAGGGTTTTTGAGTATTCATGCTTTTTCTGAGAAAGAGAAAGGGAAAGGCTTTCATCCAACACACACCACTTTGCACATGATTCAAAATGTGCCTATCTTTGTGTTATAATACATTGATTGCTACACTTATTTATTATTATGAGGTATCATGAGATTCAGGATCAGTTCTCCATCAGATTTGTGGCCATCTTGGTGGTTGCTTGTCTTGACCCATCTGTAGCTCCCTATTTTTCTGCTCAATTATCACTTATTGCAAGAAGGCAAGAAACACCTGCCTGTTACTGTAGGGAGTCCAGAAGCCTGCCTTTTTCCTGCTGTTTTTCTGCTTCATGATAGCAAGAAGTATTAGAACATGTAGAAGTATCTGTTGTCTATTCTGTACCTACTAGCTGAGATTTTTATCTTTGACTTCTTGGAGTTTATATAATAAAAACCATTGAGGATTGTGTCCACTCCTTGCTGAGGGCCAAGCGTGTACCTGACTCATTTCATACTCTTTGCACCCAGCACACTTCTTGATAAAAAGCAATGTCTGATTAACAAACATTCATTTATAAATGAAGGAAAAATAAGAGGGATTTTCTCTAGTCTAAGAAAAACTATCCAGTCATTGTCAGATAGTAACTGCCCTATCCTTAGATGCCTGGTACGCTGTTACTGAACTGAGGGACGGAGATTTTATTACTCCCTGTACACAGCTACTTCAAAGGATGGGTAAGATTGGTCAGTATATTAAAGTCTGTATTTGCTTCCTTCAGTGAAGAAAGTTCACCATCACCAGCAGCATCACTGGGAAAAAGCACACGGTTGTCACTGATTCAGCCAAGACCTGTAAATATTTACTGCGCCTCTGCTCTGCCCAGCATGGGTTTAATGCACAGATGGGCTCTGGGCAGGCTTGCCACCTTTTAACTGGTAAGTAGATTTATATTCTCTATGTATACCTAGACAGTATGTTATTTCATAAAACAATTTGTGTGGGCAGATGCATTTGACCCAGAAGTCTCTAAAAAGTCTTAAATATGCCCAGAACACCAGAAACACAATAAAAATGAAGTATAACTTTTTTCTCAGACTGGCAAGCACTGAAATAAATAACACTAGAAAGGCAAATTGACATTATTTTCCCAGAGTGTAGTTGGGAATATATGTATTTTTTAAAAAGCCCATGTCCTATTGCCCCATTATTTTACTGGTAGATAGATATTTATCTGAAGGTAATAAATATAGAAGTACACAGAATTTGATGGTCACAGGTGCTCATTGAAGTGTCGTGTATAGCAGTGACCATTTGGGAGCAAGCTAGGTATCCCCAAATAGAAAACTGCCTAAACAAATCACAGCCCATCTATAAAATATAGGCAGTAAAATGCAGCTTTTAGAGAATGAGGACATGTGAAAAAGTAGATGGTGTGGTGCTAAGTGAGGAAAAGCAAGACCTGACACCATATCCACGGTTGATGGAACTTTCTTTGATTATCCAAACATCTGTACCCCTCAGCATGGGAGTCACCAGCAACAGGTACCTATGAAGCACTTGAAAGGTGGCAAGGACCTCCAAGGGATTAAATCTTTCATTTTGTTTAATTTTTAGTTTTAAATTTAAATTTAAATGTCATATGTGCCAATTGCATTGGATACTTGTGTGGTTACTATTAACGTGTTATGAAACAGGAAAGAAAGAATGCAGAAATGAACAATAACAAAAAATGATAAGTTATTATGACTTGTTACACATGTGGACATGATTGTTTTCTCTTTTTTATTTTTTAGCAGTTATTAAACTTTCAGCAATGACCATGTATCACTGATATAATTTAAAAAGAGATTAATGGTTAAAATGTGGGCACATATCTCATAAGACTAGTTAATGTTTATTGAGCACATTGGAAATGCAATGCTGTTATTTACTATTGTTACTACTATTTTTCCCTGGAATGATCCAGGATAAATGCTTATGTGAATTATCTCATTTATGCTCAAAATATACTGTTTTGTCAAACTACAATTATCTGGCAACACTGTGAGGCAGGAACCAGCGTTATTGGGAGGAGCAAACTGGGGCCGGGAGAGATGAAGTGATGTGCCAGCTGCAGGGTGGTGGGGCTGAGACTTGAACTCTGTGGCTCTTGGGGCCCAGAGCCTGCCTCTTTCACCCCCTGCCCTTGGCCTTCATAACTTGCCAGACTCTGGCCTTTGGACCCAGAGAGACTTGGTTTTGAGTGATAGCTTTATCACAGTTGCTGAAGATCTCTAAGCCCTATTTCTCCTCTTATTACAACAGGGAACAATAAAATACAACAACTTGCACTCTACACATTCAGAGGACATTCTCTGGGCTCTGTAGGATGCATATCATCCTGGAGCTCACTAAGGATGTAGAATCTCAGAAACCTCCCTCACCCCCACCCCCAAATGGGATTCCACATTTGAAAAAGAACTCAGCTAATTTGAATGCACCTAAGAGTTGGAGGAGCACCAGCTAGGAAAGAGGCTTGTGGAGACCCATAAACTCAGGGGAGGACCACTTACCATCTGGGTGACTTTGAGCAGTTCATTTCCCCTCTCTGAGCCTTAGCGTCCTCATTTAAGCTCACTATCTCAGAGGTTCGGGTTGTGCTCCTCCAGTGGGACAGTGTGTAGAATGTTTCTAGCTTGATGTCTGGTATTCAGTGTATGATGTGAATAGTGAAAGCAGCTTCTGCCCATGGGGGTTTGGTTCCATGACAGCTAATTTATGTGGGGGTTGGTCCACAAGTTGTGATCAAGTGGGAAACAAAACCACTGAGTTTTCAGACACAGAACCATACACAGGGAATACAAAGCAGCAAAAGAAATGCATAAACATTTCACTGAAACCATGGCTGTTGGTTCTGAAATATTTCCAGGGAGCTGGAGATGATAAATGCAAATTAATTACATTTGTCTTGCCTGCTATTGCTGAGATACTGTATGTGTGAAACATCACCAATATTACTTTTATTGCCTGACTCCAATGACCATAAAATATTTATAAAGACTCCATAAGCTTGTTTGTGAAAGTAGTCCTTCCAGGCCTATTTTGGTCATAAAATACTGTTTTCTCAAACTACATATTCCCCCGTCTTAGATTTCTGGAATCTAACTCACTTGCCTTTCAAGAATTTTCATGTGAGAAACTGTGCAGACCCATTTTCAATGATTGACAAGGCAGAGAGCTGGCCACCTCTAACCTGTCCTCGTGGCACCCACAATTGGTCTCTTCCTCCCCCACACTCTCTCCCCCATGATCATTGTCTTGTTCAGATAGGACTGCTGCCCACCCTGCAGGAAAATGGGAGTCAGGACCTGCCTCCTCTCTTCCCATTCCACAACCACTACACACTCTCAGGTGAACTTCCGGCAGGTACTCGCATCCCTGGTAACTGTTCTTCTCTCAGCCTTTGGAAAAACCTTTCAAAAGGACCAATCCACTCATGTTCTTCTACACTGAAACTTGTCATTGGCTTTCTGCTGTCTGCAGAGACAAAATCCATGTTATCAGGATGACGTGTTAGATTCCCACTCTGGCCCCAACCTTGATTTCTTTCATGTCCCATCCCTTGCCTCTGCTCTCCTGCATTACACCTTGCTGGCTGATAACACACTAGGAATTCTCAGGCACCAGAGTCTTTGTGCTTAGTGACCTTCACCTACGATGTTGATCCTAATACCTTCAAGGTGTAGACCACAGATAAACACACTTCTCCATGAACACAATTAAAGATAACTTCTTCATTGCTGGCTTTCCTGATTGACTGCCCCCAGGTGACTCCTTCCCAGGTGGAGGGGACCACACCCTCTTTTTTTGCAGATCTCTCTCCTCACCTATAATATTCTGCCACTTTTATTTGTGTATATGTCTATCTCCAGTCTGTGGTAGATGAGGAATTCTTTGACAGCAGATACAATATCCCAGTCTTCACAACTCCATTATGGACCAGATAGACCAGATATGGGACAAATGGGAAGTGATGGGTACATGTTTTCTGAATGGAAGGATGTGAGATGGATGGAAATTTATATGGAAATACAGACAATCATTCCCATCTTTTGATATTTATTTTGCTTTTTGTTTTTCAGTACTAAAAATAATACTATGATAACCATCATTAGAGCAAATATTTTTCTAGACCTTGTGTCATTTCCTTAAGCTAGATCTCAGAAGTTTGGTGTTTGGACACACATGCTGGGGCATGCTGACGGCCCTCACTGTGATGTGCTATGCTTGTGCTGCACGACATCCTGCTTGTTTCATTCATCTTTACTGGAATAGACATCATCATATTTATTTTTGTAAAAACAATCTCACACTCTTGCTTTATTTTGTGTTTCTTTGATGGTTAAGATGTTGATGTTTCTTAGTTGTTCTTCTGTGAATTGTCTCAACAAGCATATTACTGCATAGTTATTTTTGATTCCCTGGGGAGAAAGCATAATCACTGAGCTTTTACAAGTGCACAATTTCAGGACTTAACCCGTCAGTCTCTGCTAGCATTGCTGAGCAGGCCCCACAGGCCTCTGTGGATGCCCTTGGAGCTTCTTAAGCCTGTGACTGCAGGACGCAGGTGTGCCCTGAGCTGCCCAGCATCTCAGCTGGTAGCCTTTCCCTTATGTCCTGGCTCTGGGGGTCTCCCATGTGCTTGAATCACTGTAACTAGCTTGGATTTCAGCCCTTGGCACTTCAATGGATTCAGATATTTGTCAGCTACTTACCCAGTGCCATTCTTAACGCTGTGAGTCACCCCAGGTCAGAGAATAGACAATGTCTGTTCTCCTTGGTGTGCTGGTGGCTTTTAGATATTCTTGGCAACCCTTCCTTCCATTCTTAGAAGATCAACTCTTGGCTCTACAGCAAATCCTCCCTCCACTGTTGGTCCACTAGTGGAGCGCCATGAAGTTGAGATCTGATAATGACATCCACACTTGTCACCAGCCCTACAGGTGCTCTGCCTCAGGCTGCATCTGATGCTAAGGGCTTTGCACCTTTTATCTCTTTTCATGAATTCACCACGTGGCACCCGTCCTGCACACCGAGCGTCCTCCTCAGCCTCAATACTCCCCAGCTTCCCATAGCACACCACAGACACAGAAACACCCACAACACACCATCCCCACACACCACAGACACACTCACACCACACCAAACACACACACTCCACAGACACCCCAGTGAGACACTACACATATACACCACAAACACAGACACCTCCACAGCACATCACACACACACACCCTAGACACACACATACCACAGACACAAACACACCCACAACACAACACACACACACACACACATCACACAGGTACCAGACAGACACCCCAGGGAGACACCACACATATATACCAAGGCACAGATATACCCACAATACATCATACACAAACACCACAGACACACATACTACATACACAGACACCCCTATAACACACTACAGACACACACATCCATATACACACATCACACACACTACAGACACAGATACCACCACACCACACCACACCACACACATACACACACCACACTCCCACACATCATACATACATAGATATCACAAACATTTACAAACCATATGCACACATGCATAGATACTGCATGCACACACACATTCAAACAACACATGCACATTCACAGAGACATCCATGAGCACCAAATGTGCTGTTCTTCCCTTCCTGGTTTTAGCAGGGAGCAGATGGTTTGAAGATAAATCACCATTATCCTCTCTCAAAATACAAAGGCTCGTTCTCTGAGCACAACAGCCTCTGAAACCAAGTGACAGACTTGACCTGGGCCTGGTGTGCAGGACTCAAATTTGCCATTTGCACAAACTTCTCCCTGTCTGAATTGTGGGGGTGGAAGAGAGAGAAACACATTCACACACAATAACACAGTAACTTAAGGGATCTGTTGTTCAAATCCCAGTGGGTAGTATATAAATAATGAAGTGGGTGTCCTTCACATCCTTGGTCTCCAGTGCAGGACCTCACCAGTGTCATTTATTAAACCTGCAAGTGTCAAAGCTGGGAGACCGAGTGTCTGATACACATTTATATTTCAGGAAAGAGGCTCTTAGGTAAGGTATTATTATCAGCACAAACTAAGCTGTGTAGAGATAAAGATTATATTTCACAGGGCAGAGACTGTTGTGGGAGCCTGGGTGGTTTGATGACCTCTTTGTTATAAGACCATTTTCAAGGACAGATCTGTAAGGCGGATGCAGACTTGGGTGTTGCAGCTGATTTTATCTGGGACCTGCTGGAGCCTGGTGACCCCAGGAATGTTTTGGTTTGCATGGGTGAAAACAAGGGTTCTAGCTCCCAGCTGTCAGCTACAGGGGGAGGGAGTACCTTGCCTCTTCTTGGGTTTCTGAAGTGTCTTTCATTAGCAAGTGTTAATTAGGAGGACCTTGATTCCCAGGGCTCATCACAGAACTCCCCAAGTTGGCATGAGGCAAGATGGCAGGCCTACTGGGGCAGAGAAGCTTAGAGAGGAGAGCTGGGGCTGGGAGTGGGAGCACAGTGCTGCCACAAGAGCAGTGAATGTGTTTCTCTCTCTCCCACCCCCACAATTCAGACAGGGAGAAGTTTGTGCAATTGGCAACTTTGAGTCCTGTACACCAGGCCCAGGTGAAGCCTGTCACTTGGATTCAGAGGCTGTCGTGCTCAGAGAATGCGTTGTTTGCAACCAGGTCGCAGGAGCCAGAGGGAGGCCTGCTGAGCCTGTCACTGCAGAACTTCAACATGGAAGCCACCAAGGAGACCAGGACAGAGGAGATCAGAGGCAGGTGGGTTTTATTTTTCTTCTGAACCCAGACCACCAGGCACTTGCTGTCCTGGAACCACCCATACTTGAAGCAATTGTTTAAAAGATGTGCAATGCCGAAGGGAAGAATACCTTCACTGGGTCACTGCCAACAAGGTCCAGAAACTTACAAGGCTGACCTTGGGCTAGGCCTAGGCTAAATACTACAGGGCAAAATCTCACTCCCCTGTCCTGCTGCTTTTACTCTTTGGTGGAAAAAGAGCTATGTGATGATGGAAAAATGAAGAAGAAAAAATACACAAATTATTTTTGTAGGTACTGGGGGTAAGATAAATTATAATAAGCCTTTTTAGCCTTTTCATAAGCCAGGTAATGGTCTAGACACTTGTCTCATGAACTGACTTAACCTGCATAACCCTGTACAGGTCTTCATCATTCTCTCCATTTTACAGGACAGGAAACTGAGGGGCTAGGACTCAAACACAAGTAGTTTCCATGGAGACTAGACTCCTGACCTAGACACCACACTACCCGATGGATTGCTGGTCATTTGAATTTGTATGTGAAAACAATGAGCTTATAAATGCAGCTTTTCATTATAAAACAATGATCCTTACATTTAAAAATAACCTAGAACTTGGATTACACTGATGTTGCAAATTGTATAAATAGAACAGATTCCCAGGCAGCAGACGACTGATCCGGGAGGGTTGATGTAGAGCCGTTTTGGGAATGAGTTATACATCTGCTGCAGCAAGACTGTGCGGATGATTCATTTGAACTGAAATTCAAGTCTATGTGCACATACCTTAAAGTCATTCATAGAAAATGAGTGCCCAAATTCTGTTGGTGCAAATGTGCATTACCATGTACTGCAAACTCAATCAATAACAGGGAAGCAAAACTGTTCCTAGCATCTGGAGCTGTCTAACAAATGATCCCAAAGTGCAGTGATACAAAATAACAATTGTCTTGTTATTGCATTTCACAGTTCTGGGTTAGAAAGCCAGGCAGCACTTAGCTGAGGGATTGTTCCACTTAACATGGCATTCACCAGGGTCATGACAGTCCTCAGAAGGTGCTGGCAGGTTTAGAGTCCAACACATCTTTCTTTTCATGCCTGGTCCCTGGGTATAAGTGGCAGGGTCCCTTCTCCCTCCCAGTGCAGTCTCAAGCTTTCTCCAGCAAGCTTCTACATGGCAGCTTAGGACTCTAAGAGCCTGGGAGAGGTTGCCAGTTTTCTTGAAGTCTCACTGGAGCTAGCATAGCATCACTTCTGTGATACCCTTGGTTAAATTAGACCCACATCTGCACAGATTCAAAGGAAGCAGAAATAGATGCCACCTCTTAATGTGGGGGTGACAAAGGATTTGTGACCATCTTTAATCTGTCACTCAAATTAATGGCACCTTATAGCATTTTATTGTTGAAAAGGTAGGAAAAAAAAAGGCAGAAGCAGCCATGACTGACTTAAAATCACTGTTAGCTTCCTGTTACTGTAACAAAATATCCAAGATAATCAACTTAAAAGGAGGAAAAGTTAACTTTGGCTCCCAGTTTGTAGGTTTCAGTTCAGTCTATGGTCTATTGGCCCCATTTCTTTTAGGCCTGTGGTGAGGCAGCACACAGCTGCTGAGCATGGGGTGGAGGAAGCCCATTCATTGCATTGTGGGTGGGAAGAGGAAGGGGATGTGGTCTCAATATCCCCTTTCAAAAGCACAATGACTTAAGGATCTCTGTTATGGTTTGTGTATGAAATGCCCACCCAAGAGTCTCATGCACTGAAAGCTTAGTTCCCTACTGGTGGCACTATTTAGGGAGGTTCTGGAAATTTTAGGAGGTGGGACCAAACTGGATGAAGTAGGTCATTGACCTGTACCCTTGGGGGCTGTATCTTATCACCACACCCCCTCTCTGTTTTTCTGTTCACCATGAGGTTAAGTAGCCCCTGCCCCACATTCTTGTCACTGTCATATTCTGCCTCACCATGGGCCTAGAATCAATGGAGCCAAGGACTATGGACTGAAACTTGTAAAAACATGAGCCTAAATAAATCTTTCCTCCCTTAAGTTGTTTTTGTCAGATATCTGTTACAGTCACACAAAATTTGACTAAGAAAACCTCCCACTGGATCCTAAGAGCACCATGGGCAGGTGACCAAGGCTTTTTAATATGAGGGCTCGTCAGGGACACTTATCCAAACCACTGCAGCCATCTGCTGAAAGTCAAGTGTCCTTCCTGAGGGTGATGGGACTTCAGGTGACCTGGTAGGGTCACACACTGATGGGGAGGAGCTTTGCAGTACTGCATGGCAACTGACCTTCTCAGGAGGAAGCTGGATTAGAGTCCTCTGCAAATGCTGATTCTTCTGTATCAGATGTGTATGTCTGTGTTAGTTTATTAACACCCAATTTCCACAACACACCCTAATAACTCACTTTGGAGGTCACTAGCAACCCTTGGGGAATGGAGAAATCCAGGACTTGCCTTTGAGTCCTCGACATCAGGAAGAGTTCCCAGAAACAGAGCCAAGAGAATGACTTGGGTCCTGATGAGTTTTTGGGAAGGTGAAGAGGGAGTAAGTTGTGGAAGGATCAGTCAATCTAGAGTGGAAGTTGTCAAAGTAGTTGTTGAAAGTGACCAGGGCTCAGTTCCACTGAGAAGATTACAATTGTCTGTCTAAGGAGGGTGGATGCCTGTGTGCCTGTCCTGTGCCTTCTGGTTGAGGATTGCCTGTGGGAGGGGTTGGCTCTCCCATGGTTTTGAGCGGCAGGAGTAGGTGAGGAAGCTACTCAGATGTCAAGAGGCTCCAAGGTAGAGCGAGGACTGCATCTGAGGCAGGGCATTGTCAACATGAACTGAGCCTGTGCTCCCATGTGCTGTCCACTGTGGCCAAGGTGAAGTCTGAGGTTGGCCAAGAGCCTGTCAATGTGTCCACAGGGCTGTGTTGATCTTGGTGGTGTGGATGAGACCCTAAGTATTTCTGCTTTGGCTGGAGTGAAGATGACTCAGCTGGGCCGTAGAGCAACCCCAGTGTCCCAGGAAGTCATTACCATTATCTGCTCAGCTGTCTGTGTAATCTTAAGCAAGCAATCTAACATGCCTGTGCCTCAGTTTCCTTATCCATCCAGTGGTGTTAACAGTCATGCCCACCCCACTGGGTGACTGAGGGAAGTTATACCATGTGATAAATGTTGAATGTTGAACATGGGATGAGCCCGTGGTGAGGGTATTGAGATTGGTGCCTTTTCCCTGACCTCAAGGGGATACAGTAGGAACATGCCCTCCTTTTGTGGGAACAAGATGGGTTAAACATCTAGGTACAGTGTAGATACAGTGTTCTGGCTCACTTGAGGGTGAGGGTTGGGGAGGGTCACATCAGATCTTGATGCATAGGTGGGATTTGGGCTCAGTGAGAGGGAGGGAGGAATGCCATGCATGGGGAAACCCCACTGGTCTTACTAGAAAAACTAGTTAAGGACCTAATGTGTGCCAGCCCTGGTCAGATGCCAAAGATTCAGCATTAGTAGGACAGACATTTTCTCTGCTTTCTGGTGTTCACAGGCAGGCAGAGGTGAAAAGTCAGGATCATGTGGGATAGAGCAGGTCATGCTGGTGGCTTGGCATTTGGGACATGTGACCAGGGAGGGCTAGAGTCAGGGAGGGAAGGACGGGATACACAGAGGAGCAGGAACCCCATTGCCAGTGCCATTTATGGCAACTGTTCACTCAGCACTCCTTAGAAGAGAGAAGCAGTAGGTGACAACCCTGACATACAGCTGCTGTTTGCTCCCCAGATGTCTGTCACCTTCTTCCTTCCACTGCTTCTCTGAAGTCTTTCTTGACTGTCCCAGCAAGGGACTTTTGAAGCCTCCTTCACTCTGCTGACTGCCTTTAGGGCAGCCCCCCGCCCCCCCAACATGAACATACTCTGCTAAGCACTGACGTACCCAAGAATAGCAATATGCCAGCTGTATCCTCAGTTCTGAGGCCAGATGTGCAGGCTTCCAGTAAATGGATCTTTTGAAGGTTTGCATTAAAACAACTTTTAAATTGTGGTAAAATATACAAACCATAAAATGTACCATCATGCTGCATCTTCCTAAACTGAAACTCCTTCCCATTCAGCAGAAGTCCCCATTCCTTAGTCACCCAGCCCTGGCACTTAATACTCTTGTCTGTGAATGTGGCTATACTATGTAATCAGTGGACTCGTATATATTTGTCCTTGGGTGACTGGCACTAAATGGCTTTAAACAATCGAGGGTTGGTTGTGTGTATGTATGGACCAGGTCAAATGAGTCACAGAAACCTGGGGGCAGGTGAGTCTTTGCTTTCCTTCTAAGGCCACCCAAAATCCCTATTCTCGTAGCCTTTCTGGGCTCCTCCCAGACTGCTGGGATTTTTCCTTTCTTTGAACCCAAAAGCACACTGCCGGTGCCTCTCCCTGGGCACTTTGGTGGGGTTGGAATGCAGATAACGCCCATCCTCGGTAGGATGGGGATCCCAGAGGACAGACCAGGTCTGACTCACCCTTCCACTGTCAACACCTTGCTGGCCCAGGCCAGATCCCTAGTGGGTTCCCAAACAATCTGGGTTGGACTTATGACACAGGACCAAACAGGAGAAAAAGAAGAAGGAGGCACTTCCCTATCTGCAAAAAGCTGCTCTGTGTTACCCTTGCCTCCCCACCACGTTCGCATCACCCAGCTCTCCCCTTCACTCTTCCCATCACTCCCCTGAGGAGTGCCAGGCTTCATGCCAGGAGACCCTGGTGTCACTGTTCCCAGTGTACAGTGAGAGGATCCACAGGAAGCTACCCAAAAAGTACCCTCTGTCATAGTCCAACTGCCTGAGCAGTGGGGTGGAGGAGGCCTCACTGGTATTGGGGAGAAGTCTGCTTGGCATCATGGAGGCCCAGCGCTAGCTTTGTCAAGGGCTCTGAGCACCCACAGCTTTGTGCTCTTTCTTCCTTCTCTTGTTCTCTACCTTATTCATCTCTGAATACAAACTTTCTCTATGCAAGCTGACTTTAGGGGTAGGACAGGGGTTCCTACTTGATTCATCATTCTTCCTAGCACCTGGAACATTTTTCACTTACTAGAATGTTGCAGGTATTAGTCCGTTTTCTGTTGCTATAACAAAATAAGGTGGAGTACCTTATAAAGAAAAGTTGGGGGACTAACTGGGATTTCCTGGGAACTACTTATTCATGCATCCCCAGTGACCTAACTGGTCTCACAGGCTGCATCTGTTAAAAGTTCTACCACCTCTCAATGTCACTCCACTGAGGACTAAGCTTTCAATACATGAACCCTTGGGAACAAAGCACATCCCAAGCATAACACCACACATTTGGTCCAGGACATCTGAACACATGAAAGTTTCGTGGTCTCAGTGTGTGATCAGGGGGGCATCCAACTCAGATGCTACCAGGATCGGGCTGCAAAGAGACTGTGTGCAGCCCTCACTGGGGCACAGCAGATACAGGGTACTGGAGCATGCCTGACCCTGCCAAGGGCCTTCAGCTAAAAGCAAGAGCAAACAACCAAACACTAACCCCCCCCACACACTTGCTTTTGGTGGTATCATAAGCTTGGGAAATAGGACGATTTTTTTGTCTTTTATATCCAAACCTAAGGTGTACAGTGGGAGGTTCAGAAGGGGTCTGGGTGATTGTTGTGAACCTTCTAGGACAGAAAGACCCCAAATCTATTCCTCCCATTGTACTCCTCATAACCAGACCAGCCCTTGATGGGGTCTTTCTGTGGCTCTGCTGGAAGGCTAGAAACCATGTTGCCTTCCCCAAGCCACTGCCCATTCTAACATATGTCCAGGAAGTTGCCATCAAGGGGCATCTTATCTTTTTTACCTTGTCACCTTTCCCTGCAGCAACTTCACTGGCCAGGAGCAGCAGCACAGCATTTGATTGAATCAGAAGCCAACGGCTTGTGACCCTCTCACTGGTCCCCCTGCTCAGAGTGCGTGCACAGGTACAGACCAGGCCACGGCCAGGTTTAGGGTAAAGAAAACCTTCCATGTGATGCTTGTTTTTAACCTTTTGCCACCACTTCAGTTTGCTTCCCAAGCAATGTTCACAATCTTTTTATTTTTAGAATGATTCTCAAAACTATTTAGGGAAATGCTTTCCCAGTCAACATTTGGCTCTGGCTTGCACATGGATCGGAGAGGTGTTAGCTTTGGCAAAGCAATTTCCAGTGTTCTGTCCAGCATGAGGAATAACCACTAAAGGGTGGTGTATTTAGAAAAGGCACCATTTCAATTATGCTTCTTCTCACGGCCCAGAATATCACCCAGTGTTTCTCAGAAAATATGCTTAGGGATGGTAGCAATCACATACCATCCCTGGCAAGGGCCCCGTTGAAAGTAAAGACAGAGATTCCATAACTAGGGAAAATATTTATGCTTTGCAAACGTTTTCAATCCTGGGGGCTGGATCTAGAACACCACCAGGAACCTGTCTACTTTTAAGTCTTTCAGGCTCTTCCATGGTCCCTGCAGACCATGGAATGATTGTGGCAGAGTCACTAGTGGGGGATTTTTCTACTGGCATTGTGATAAGCATTGGAGTGCCCCTCTCTAGGACTCCAGCTCACTAGGAACAGTCTCAGGGCTCTGTTTTGGGTGTCCTTCAAGACCCAAGCTGGAGAAGCACTCTAGCAACACCCAGGTTGGGCTGCTGACCTCTAGCAACTGCTGATTAGTAGAGACCTGTGTTAGTCAGCTTTTCATTGTGGTAACAAATCCCTGAGATAAATCAACTTAAAAAGAGGAAAGGCTTATTTTGGCTCATGGTTTCAGAGGTTCCAGTCCATGGCCACTTGGCCCTGTTGGTTTGGGCCTATGGTAGCTCAGTGCATCATGGAAGGAGCACATGCTGGAGGAGGCCTGTTCAGTTCATGGAAGCCAAGAAGCAAGGTGGTGCGGGGGGGCATGCAGGGTGGGGGAGAGAGAGAGAGAGACAGACAGACAGACAGACAGACTGGAGTCCCAATAGCTACTACAAGGGCTCTCCCCCAATGATTTAACTTTTACCCATAAGACCCCAACTCTTGAAGGGTCCAGTACTTCCTAAGAGGGGAAGACTTTGATGGTTTTACTTTTAGTTGTCACTGCTAGCAAGTACATCCCTACTCGTCTTTTGTTTTGTCCCAAGACGAATGCAGAAAAAAAAAGAGGGTATAGTAAATGATAGAGAAAACAGGCATCACAGCCCACCCTACCTTGGCCTCTGATCTGCAGCCCAAATATCATTAACACTGACCCAGAGAGACTCATGGGAAGTATGTGCTCAGTGATCTGTTCCCAGTGCTGTGGGGAGGTTCAAACTGTTAGCTACTTTTGCTTTCAGGCATCCATGTATGCACGTTCCCCCCTTTAATAAGAATTTTTTGGGGAAGCACAATAAGGTATTTTGATTCTACTTCTAGGGGTACAGAATAACAGAGGAAAGAGCTTTACAGCAGGACCTGATGGAGAAATTGTGCATGTGACTTTGAAACGTGATCCACACTGTGGTTTTGGTAAGAGGGCTCCCTGTAGGTCAGAACTTGTCTCACCTGCTTGGCAGTGAGACAGAGGGAGCCACTTTTCCCTTTTGAATTTTCTACTCCTCTCTTCTGCTCTGCCTTTCCCAATTTGCCCTTTTCAGTCATCACTTCTGCTTTTTCCTCCTTTGAGATATCCTTAAAGAACAACAAGACTAAAAGGCTTCCTTGAAGACCCTGATGCATTTTGGGGGTGCATCTAAGCATAAGTTAAAAAAAAAATTTCCCCCTAATACATGTAACACATTTCTGTATATATATATAGATCTTAGTGATGGAGTGGAATTGGCAATATTTCTCACCTTTTATTACTGATCACATTTAAAAATCCTTAAAACCACTCAGAAACAAGACACTGAGTACTTGATTAAAAATCATGTCTGTTATGATTTTTGACTTGGGGTTGATCTGTAACAATCCCAAGTTACAGATCAGAAAAGTCAATTGTATCTCTGATTATGTCCTGGAGCAAAGTCTAGCTCACATTGGTGGGCTGTATTTCTAGCTTTAGCTGTAGATGCTAAAGGGAGCAATCCATATTTCCCCACATATTACACCCGAGACAAATGATCAGCTGTGCCACTGGGTAGCTGTGTGAGCTTGGGTAAATGACCTAACGTCGCTGAGCTGCAAACACGTCATCTTACCATTAAATACCATCTTGAATTGCAGGTTTTGTCATTAATGAGGGAGAAGATGGAGGCCAAGGTAATCCTGGCATTTTTATATTGTCTCTTATACCTGGAGGACCAGCAGAAAAAGCTAAAAAGATCAAACCAGGTACATCTTGTTATCAGAGATGTTGTCTTAAGGAACCACTCTTTCTTATTTCCTTAATGGGGTTATTGAAATGTTTTGTTTTTCTAGGAGGGCGAATATTAGCCTTGAATCACATCAGCCTAGAGGGCTTCACGTTCAACATGGCTGTTAGAATGATTCAGAATTCTCCCGACAACATAGAATTAATCATTTCTCAGTCCAAAGGTACGTCTCAACCTGCTTTTAGAAACTCAAGAGCCTCATCTGTTTTCAGGAGTGCATTATTATCACCCAGCACTGAATACAAAGCTCACGCAGGTCTTTTGTGTAGATCTCTTCCTGATAGTGGCTTGTGAAGAGCCAATGTAGTGACACCAATCAATAGCTCTGCAGCTGTGGGGACAGGATTGGTATGTCCTTTGAAAGGCAGCAACCTATTCTAATTCCTTATTAATTAATAAGGCTTGGCTGGACACACCACTGTGTATGTTTCTGCCCATTCTCCTTGCATGACAGGGAGGAGATTCTTATTGTCAATCAAGCCCTCATTGAAAGGGGCTGCTCTAGGAGTTCTAGAGTTTGGGCTTAGGTGGAGTAACCACCTATGCTGCTGGGAGGGCAGCTGACACTGGTCTTGAACCTGAATTTGCGCAGTAAGTACACTATTCTCACCTGTGCGGGTTACAGATCAACCCGTAAAGTTTGGTTTTTCTTTAAGGTATTTTTCCTCATCTTTTACATAAGAAGGAAAGAGCAACAGCTGCTTAGATCAAAGACCCATATTATTATCTTTATTGGGGCAGGTGTGGGAGGCTAGATGGAGGCAATGGGGCTAGATGGACACCCTTATACCCTAGTTACCTGAGATCCCTGATGCTTTTTCGCTGGGAGGTCTCCTAAGTTTCAGGAGACTTCCTGCAAAGTCAGGCTCATGTCTGAATGCAGGCACCCTATTTGCTGTACCTCTGAAAGCTATGCACACCCTTTTGCACATATGCACACCGCCACCCGATGGCTTTCCTAGGGATTGCAGCTGCCTGGTCCAGAAGCCATCAGCTGTGTAGGAGTGAGGAGGTGGCAATGCCGGGGGGCCTTAGCCATGCTCCTTTCTCTCTCTCATCATATGACAAGAGTTTAATAAAAAGGAGCTGGCAGTATTCACTCTCCTCGCTCCTGTTTTCATAAATAGGTCACACAAGTGACTTCTATTTAGGTTTCTGAGTCACATTCTAAGTGCAACATCCTACATGAGGTGCTAAATTCGCATCCCCTGCAACTATAAAAGGTCTCTCTGTCTCTAAAGGAAAACTTTGTGCCTCCCATAGGGTGCCCTGAGATGCCAGCCTTTCCAAACAGCTAACTTTTTCTTGGCCTGTTTTCATAGGAGTTTGTGGAAATATCCCCAGTGAAGAGAAGAATAGCACAGACAATTCTGGCATTTTCTCTACAGACATCCTGAACAACGGTCAGCAGGGAAGTTTGTCACCACACACACAAGACCAGGACAGAAACCCTGGAGGACTGGAAATGGCTCGTGTGCCAAGTGTAATCCCCAGGCAAGGGCCTGAGCTCTCCCCTCTGCCATCAAAGGTGACAGCTCCTTGGTTCACGTTCTAGAATGTTCTAGAAAAGAGAACAAGCTGTGGAGCCCTGCCCAGCTCCTGTGCTCTCCATGTGCCATGTCTGGTGGCTAGGGCTTACTTACACCAACTGGCCCTCAGCTTCTCTTCTGTGAAATGGAAATAAGTGACTGTCTCACACGGGGAAATGGTAGAGCTCTGGGCACAGTACCTGGGTCATAGGGCTCAGTGTTCTTAGTCACTGTAATTGCTACTGGTAATGACAACATGAGGAAATTGATTACTACCAAGGGCAGGATAACCTTGGCTTATGATTGGTCCTGGAGTTGGCAGCTCACTTGCTTTTGCTCCTGGAGGAAGAAAATAAAACCTGGCCTTATGGTGGACAGAGGATGGTACAGTCCCAGCTCTCCATGCCCTGCTGTTTCTTGGATACTGGGTAGGAGAGTCCTTTTTGGACTCCACAGAACCACTTTCTTCCTTCTGCTCTGGGTCCCTCAAAGCTGACATTCATGGGCTGTATCAGTTCTCTGTCTCTGGTTAATTCTTCCTAGGAGAAGCCCTTGCAAGAGCCTGAAGTTGGAGGTACGAGTAGGGACAGACTTGTCACTCTCTCTGAGCTTTCTGTGTCTTTCCACTGATGTCTTTCTATCCTTACCCCAAAACAACTCTCTAGGCTCCACTGCCCACCTGCTCCTCTCACCTCCAGTCTCAGGTGCTTAGCTGCTTCTTCTTGTTTCTCCACAGGTGCTAGCACCTTTGAGAGCAGGCCTGGCATTAACCCTCTTCCTTACTTGGTCAAGTGGGCACCTTCTCGTTCTTTCTGGGACGCTAGTTAAAATAAGCAAGTGGTCCCACCCCTCTCAAAATCACTTTCAGGTAATGACTTTTGTCTACAGAACCACACTGTGTCCAGTGTACAGAAAATATCATTTCCTTCTATTTACCTTAGATCCATTGGCTAGGCCCTTGTAAGAGTGTAACAAGAGAAAAGCATACACATTTATTGAATATTAGCTTTACATGATCTTTTGTAAGGAAATGAGGACTCAAAGAAACAGAAAATTCTGGGTATGGGTCATAGTAGATTTATGATAAATGGAGAGCTGAGGAGAAGTGTGACAGGGCAGTGGGCGTGAGTCACTTGGGGATACTTAGTGAAGACTTATTAACTTAATTTCTCATCTAGTCCTTTAGTCTTTAGAACTAAGGGTGCTGCTTCCTCTGGGTATAGGAAGGGCACCTCTTATGTGAGGGCTTCATGAGAAAGGTCCTTTAGGGAAAGGCCAGAACATCCTTAGGTTTCAGGACCTACTTCAGGGGAAAAGGGCCAGGGAAGGTCAGAGAGACCTTCCTGTTCCTGCTGCTCTCAGATTCTTTCAGTCTCAAAGATTCAGTATGTTGAGGTTCCATATCTCGATGTAGCATGTTCTGAACTCAGTTGCCAAGATCTGCAGGACTCTGTGAATGTTAGTGCCTTCTTAACTGGCCACCACGATCACTTGGACAACATATCCATGAAGAACTGAATGCAGAAGGCCAGCAAAGAATAACAATGGCTGACACTTGAGTGCTTACCTATGTGTCTGAGAGTCCTGAGCACTTTATATATGTGAGCTCATGAGAGATTCATGGTGATCCTATGAGAGAGGTACTACTGTCAGCCCACTTGACAGGTAGGATACCTGAGGCACAGAAAGGAAAGAATCATGCCAAGGTCCCTGGGGGAGGCTAGTGGCAGAGGCAGGGCGGGGTCTCAGAGCATGGGACGATAGTGTCCTTATGGCCCTTAAGTTTCACCTCTTCCTACTGTCGAGATGGCAATAAAATTTCAGATAAGTTTGGGGGGGGCACTCAAGCCATAGCAGTTTTGCATATAGTAGGTGCTAACTAATGTTGTTGCATGATTGTATAAATGAATGAGCAAGTCTTACATGCTAATTGTCACAGTACCAAGCAACTGCCTGATATACGGTATGCTCATTTTTCTTTTTCCCAAAGCATTCAACTATTGTATAGTAAAACCCACTATGGTCGCTCTTGCTAGGAATGGTCAGAAGTCCTGCTGAAGTTTGATTCTGCCTCAGAAAGCTGTTGTGTATTTGGTATCCAGCATGCTGTCACTTTGCTGGTAACCTGTGTGAGGTTTCCAGGCAGTTCCTGGGTAACTTTGGTTCTAATATGGATACTTGCAAAATAATTGGAGACAGGAGTAACCTACATTTATGGAGCCCCTACCATGTGTTGGCACTTTTGCAGTCACACAATTAGGAAGGATGTTCCACACCAGTCATATGGATTGGGAAATGGAAGCTGGAGAGTCAGAGAGACTTGCCCAAGGTCACATGTGGAGGAACTGATAATGTAGGAGCTGACCATGCTGGAAGCCCCTGCTTCCTTTGGGTACAATGCTACCTGCTCCTGTGAGCAGGTGAGAGCTAAGAGGAGCTGTCAATATAGGCAGGGCAGGTGCTTCATGCCTTTCTCTTTTCTGTTTATTTGCGGCAGAGTGCTCGTTCTCCTTGCCCTCCATCACCTCCAGAAACCAATGTAGGTGATATCTACTTCGTTGAGCTGGTTAAGGAAGATGGGACCCTTGGATTCAGCATGACTGTAAGAGTTGTTGGGGAAGGGGGGGCTTGGAAAACAGTTTAAAATATATCCATCTGGAGCACAAGTGGCACATGGGAAGTGAGTGAACCAAGAAAGTCACTGGGAGCCTCTGTGGGGAATGAGAATTCAAAGACAAACTGGGAGACACAGGGCAACCTGAGCTTGAGAGGAAGGTAGGTGCTGAGGAGGCAGAACGGTGTGAGAAGGTTGTGTAGGTGGAATTGTGTGATGGGTCCTGATTCTGAGCTAAAACTGGACAGGAAGAAAAGGACAGCAAGGTGGGGCTTCAGGGTCATGAGCCAAAGGTGAATGGGGGTAATCCACTGTCATCCCAAATAGGATGACAGAGGAACTCTGTACTCCAGCCTTTAAAGGCCAAAGTCTGTAAGACTTCTGTCAGACTGGCACTTTGTATTTGGCTTTTGAGCTCTGCCTGGCAGACCCTGAGAAGGTATATTCCCTACGTAACTGTGATCATCCAAGAGTGTGGAAATTGGTACACACGAAGGCAGTGAAAACTCAGAGGTCAGAGGTTGGGAGGTTTGCTTGTTTTACTGGGCATTGAAAATAACCCATCACCTTGAGAGCTTGGAATGTGTCTGGATCTTAGGGATGGCGTTATGGAATCTGATTGTTGATTGGAAATAGAATGGAATTTCCCAATAGGCAAGGAAATGTCAAGGCCAAGAAAACTTCCAAAGGAAACCCAAGAGATAAGGTAATGGAGGGCAATCTTTGCTTTCGTATATAATAAAGGTATGCACCTAGAGCAGGGATCCTGAATGGCTAAACCATCAGCCTGCAATCAATGTGTCAGCAGATGATTTTTTGACATTAAGAAATAAGGCTCATGAGTCCCTAGAGAGTGAACAGGCTGGTAACAAGTATGGTCAATTTATTCTTGGCTTGAGTAACAATCCTATCAGATACTAACATAGTTACTTCCTCTGAAAAACTTGCTAAATTTTACATTATTCAGATATATGCATACACATATGCTAAGAAGAGATCGGTGATTTCTTTTGGCTGGCAAAAAATTTTGACTTCCTTTGGAGAAATTTAATTAAAAAATAATTATTGAAATGTCTCACTCAAATCCAAATGGCCTCTAAACAAATGAAAGACCCTCAAACCCACCAGAAGTCATGGGAATACAAATTAAATTAAAAAAAAAATCTTTAAACTTTATAACTATCAGTTTGGCTAAATATAGGTAGTTAGATGCAGAAAAAGGGTACTGTCGCACAAAGCTGGTGGAAATGTGAATAATTATATGCACATTCATATTGGGATGTAATCTGGCAACATCTATTACTATAAAAAATGCACATATCCTTGGGCCCATAGAGGTAGAAACAAGAATCCCATTAGGCCAGGCTGTATATGTGAGGATGCTTAATGTAGTGTTGCTTATATAGTGACAAACACGCCGGGGACACAATGATTGGAAATCAGTTGAGGAAGGTTGAATGTACCATGCACATGTACACATAGATATCAAGCAAACCCCATCTTCATAGCTCAGTGGAGAAAAGAGTCTCCATGGGTGGATATAGAAGACACTGTCAGATGGAGATGAGGCCATGGCATAGATGGTAGGCAGGAGGGGCTCCCCTTGTTAGGGAGGTTGAGGAGGGGGCAGATTGGTGGTGAGTTTTTCCTTGTGTTTTTCAGGGTGGAATTAACACCAGTGTGTTGTACGGAGGAATCTATGTGAAATCCATCATTCCTGGAGGCCCAGCTGCTAAGGAAGGACATACCCTACAAGGTGAGGGGTGGAGGCTTCTGGGAGTTCTGCTTTCCTGGGTTTTGAAGGGTAGCCCCAGGCCTTACCCAGTCCTCTCTTGAGCCTCCTGCAAACCATTGCCTCTCTGGGGTCTGATTTCTCCACCCAAGAAGGGGAGGATTACGCCCACACTATCCACCTGATAGGTTAGCAGGGATCTAAAGTTTATAGAAGCTAACTGGAAAGCATTATGTGATGTTGGAGATATTTGAAGTTTCTTGCTGGTCTTCATGGGAGACAGTACTGTTACCCTGAGAAGATAGAGCTAGTATTGGTGGCCCCATTCTAGTATGAGGGTCTGTCTTTAGATACAGATATGAGCTTTTTCTCTGCCCTATATAATGTCTCACTGTTCTAAAGGAAGGGACTGATTTTTATTATTTGCCAAAACTTCCAGAACTGAGCCCAAAAAGGCACCTAGGATCTTACTTATATCCATTTCAGCCTTGTATTCTGGTGTTCCCAACACCAACCATTGTCTCCCTGACCTTTTGTGAAATAAAAAAACAACCTGGGGATATAAATATCACCCCTGAGTGGCTTGAAAATACTTTCAAAAATGATTTCACAGTAAAACAGGAGGAAGGATAAGGTTGAACAGAGCTGGCTTAGCCAGCCTGTGAGCCAATAATAGAAAGGCTTTTATATTATTGATCTGTCGTGTGCTTGGAAGTAGGCATGCAGACAATCAGAGAGGCACTTGTGCTCAAGCCCAGGCAGGATTCCTGCTGAGTCCAGGGGCACTTGGCAGCTCTGCTTCCTGCCCCCTGTCGGGAGGCTGCATGGAGGGCTGGAGCTGGGGCTTTGCAGAAGAGTCTTTCCTTGAGCCCCAGAGATCATAACATCCACCCTTCTTCCAGGTGACAGGCTCCTGCAGGTAGATGGAGTCAGCCTGTGTGGCCTTACCCACAAGCAGGCTGTGCAGTGCCTCCAGGGTCCTGGGCAGGTAAGTGCACCCTTACTGGGGACCTTTCCTTCCTTCTGGAACTTGCCTGGACAACATCAGAAGCTACAGTTGCCTCTGGGTGGGAGAGAGGTGGCCAGGAAACAAAATACATCTTTTTTTCTCTTTCACTTCTTCCTCTTAGTACTACTTTTCTATGGGGATATGAAACCCAGGAGGTCGCAGACAAATACTTCTAAGCAGAAAACCTCACACCCTATAAATACCCTTTCAAAACTTATGGCGGCTTGCCTAGACTTAGGAGTCAGACAGTGAACAGAGATGATGGAGTACAGTGGCTTCTCCATCCTGGCTCTGGCTGTGCACCCCAGGCCTGCTCCAACCTTGTTGACCAGCATGTCTGCCTGCTCTCAGGCCCCCTTTCCTCCCTGTTCTTGCCCACAATGACCCCCTGGGAAGTATCCCAGTTCATGCTGTTCTCATCACCTTGTGCTTTTACACAACCAGGGCCTGAGATGGACTGTTCTAGAATTCTTTTCACCCCAGTGAGGTAGAAATTCAGGATGCCAAGAGCTGGAGATACTCATCTGTTATGTGCTCTTTATTCCATGCAGTGCTCAGGCAGTGTCTTGATGTTACCATGCTGGGTCTGTCTTCTGCTTCAGGGTGGAAGCCTTTAATTGTTCCTGTACCCTGGGCCACAAAACTGACATTGCCCTCTTTAGGTAGGCATTTTACCACTTGAGTCATTCTGCCAGCAATTGCCCTCTTTTGTAAATGAGGAGTCAACAGAGGCAGAAGGTCTTTCCAGCAAACTCCCTGGTTGAGTTCTGGTCTCTTCTTGCATCCTTTCCCAAAGCAGTCTTCTAATTCATGGTCACATTTACTTGTCTTGGTGAACTTGGTCAATATACCTTAAGAACAGCCATAGTTTATTAGCACCCTCTATTCTTTGGACCTTTGATAAAGAGCAAGTTATAGATTACTGGGATGATGACAGTAAGAATTGTCACTGTGGGGTCATGGGCCTAATGCTGAGTGATAGTTGCAGCTGAAGGAGGAAGGCAGGGACAAGTCCCCTGAATGGAAGCTTGGCATGTCTAACAATTTGCCTTGTGATATCCAGCCACTGGTTCTTGACTCACTTTGGGTAACAAGGGGATGTCATGTTGTGGGGAAGAAGGATGGAAAGTCAAACTACAAAGAAAGGGGGAGGCACAGGTCTGGAATGATTCTATGGGTTTGGAGTTTAAGTCATGGGAGATGTTGGAGACTTTTAGCCAAGTCTGTTCCATGTTCAATTTGTGTCTTAGACTGATCCAACAGCAGCCATGATGGGGGTGGACCAAAGGAAATGAACACAAGGTCCAGCAAGCCCAGTGAGCAGGAGCTTGCTGCTGTCCAGCTAGGCAGGGTCAATGGAAGGAATGGAGGAGGGGCACTGGGGGAGTTGTTTCTGATGGGGAAACTTACAAGCCTTAAAAGCAGATGGGTATTTGGAAGGTAGAAGGGGAGAGAGGTGGATCACTCCAAGGTTGGCTCCTGTGAGGTTGATGGATAGATAGTTCCATGTACTGAGGGAGCAAACAAGGCGAGGAATGTTTTAGACAAAAGAGGAGGGGAAGGGAGGGGCAGTGAGGCGAAGCACATGCTGACACGGAGGTGCACATGTTACTTCCATGGGTACTGGAAATAGGGGTCAGGATCCCACAGAGGCTAGATTGGAGACTTTGATTTGAGATTCAAGTGAAGCAGCTTCTTAGGAGCATCAGAAAATTAAGAAGCATTTGCAGAGTGAAGGGAGTGGTTGCCATTTAAAATGTAAATTGAGTTTGTCCACCCATCCTTCTAGGTTGCAAGACTGATCTTAGAGAGAAGAAGCCCCAGGACTGCACCACAGTGTTCTTCTGCTAATGACAGGATGGGTGATAAGCATGCAGCTGTTTCCCTGGTAACAGCCCTGCCTGGCAGGCCTATGAGCTGTGTCTCTGTGACAGATGGTGAGAGGAAAGAGAATTGAGTGTTACTATTGTCATATCATTGCATGCTGCTTTGAGTTGGCAAGTTGAAAAGGAAAGTCAGGAAGGCGTCCTCTGAGTTCTCAGAAAAAAACAAAGTCAGCAGTGTTGATCATTATTATTAGTCAAAGCTGATGGAATATATTTCTGGAAAACAAAGGCATTGTCCCAAAATGATTACGAGGCAAAGTTCTACCCCCAAGCATTCCTCAGCCTTCTGATCAGCTGCCTGAATGCTAGTGTTTGTGCATATGTATTTAGGGGTGAAATTGACATGAAAGGGTCATGCACTTTCAGACACACTTGGTTCTGTATTCCAGCCAAGGCATCTGTAACAAAGTCATGTGAGGACTGATTAAGCTGGTTGGGAGGGGTGAAGGTGTTTAGGAATCTAGCCTTGTATCAGCATCATTTACAAAAGCAAACTCATGATCAGTTTAGAAGGATATAATCTTCTTTCTGATGGATTTCCTCTTTGCACATCCCTTGTGATTTTTGATCCCTGCTAGGAAAAGGTCTATATCCTTCCTACATCATGGTTTGGAGCTTAGTCATGTTCAGTCCCTTCATAGAGATTTAGTGGTCCTGGTAGAGGACCACTAAATGAGGAAGACTGGATGCAAAATGGCCACAGGGTTGAGTGATGGGGGACAGAGGGGCAAGACTTAAATCAAGTCTATTTCTTCCTTCCTTATTCCTCTGCCCATTCCAATGGGGGCTTTGTAAAACTGACTACAAACTAAGCTGCGGAGGACAGAGTGGCAATCATAGAATTGTTCAAGCCACAAACCTCCACCTACCTGCTTCAGCCATTTCCATTCTTGCTCCAGTGAAAGTTTTTAAGTCAAGGGTGTGTCTCTATGGTCATTAACTGTTAACTGAGTTGTTGAAAGCAGACCAAGGATGGTGAAGGATGTCCAAGTTGGACATCATTGTATCTGTAGTCTAATTATGCAAAATTTAGTGCTGAGCATAATAAAACATGATTAGGGTTCTAAAAATGCAATGTATACATGATACAAGTTTTACTCAATACTAAGAATATGCTGTATATGTCTAAAAATGTTACATATAAATTTAGTTGGTTACTTGTTCTTGCATTATCTGGTATGGTAGCCACTGCACTTTTGGCTATGGAACATTTGAAATTTGTCAGTTCAAGTGGATAAAATAGATACCAAACTTTGAAGACCTAGTTCATAGGAAGAATGAAAAGTATCTCATTAATATTTTTCATATTGATTATATGTTAAAATGGTAATTTTTAGATATATAGATGGTTTTCCCTACTGTGTTTTTAAACTTTACAATGATGTAAAACCATATACATTCAGTAGAAACCATGCTCTGAACTTTGAATCTTTTTTTTTTTTGGTGGTACTGGGGTTTGAACTCAGGAATTCACACTTACTAGGTAGGTGCTTTATCACTTGAATCACACCTCCAGCGCCAAACTTTGAATTAATCTTGATCTTGGCCAGGCTAGTGATACACGCTGTGACCTTCTCATGAGGTGCTGGGCAGTGACAGTGAGCACAGCTCCAGTCAGCACCCTGATCACCGAGGGAAGTGACCGATGTTCTGCGATGTGCTGGGTTGCGAGCCTGTTTGGTAGGACAGGTACATTCAATGCGCTTTTGACTGACAGTGTTTTTAATTTACAATGGGTTTCCCAGGATCAAGCCCACAGTATGTTGAGAAGAATCTGTATTGGGTTAAATAAGATATATGATTAAAGTTTATTGTACCTGTTTCCTTTTTGTTTTTTAGAAACGTAGCTATTTGAAAACTTTACATGTCCTTTGGCTCGAATTTGAAGCTTACTTTACATCTCTGTTGGATGGTGCTGATCTATAAAATGTGCAATGGACTCTGCCACAAAAGCCAGCACTTGAAATCTTTCTATGCAAGACAGAAATAATTGATCTCTGTGTCAATTTGCATTCTGAGGCTGGTTAATTGTATCTTACTAAAGGGTTCATTTTTATCAATATCCCACAATACAGGGCCTAAGTTTGAAGTCAAACTGAAAAAGAATACCAATGGCTTGGGATTCAGTTTTGTGCACATGTAGAGAGAGAGCTGCAGCCACCTCAAGAGTGACCTTGTGAGGATTAAGAGGCTCTTTCCTGGGCAGCCAGCTGAGGAACATGGGGCCATCGCAGTTGGTGACATTATCTTGGCGGTGAATGGAAGGCCCACAGAAGGCCTCCTCTTCCAGGTGCTGGGGCTAACAAGGACCAGAGCTATGTGCAGGCTGGTGCTAGCCATGTTTCTTTCTAAGGCTTCCCTCATAGGAAATACCCAGGACTCTTGAAATTCACACCTGGAGCCTGGGCATGAATCCCACAAAGAAAGCAGAATGTTCCCACATTTAATTTTTTATCTGTTTTAAATATCTGACCTTGAGTAAGCCTTGCATCTCATTAGGTTTCACTAGAACATGAGTTTTGGGTTCTGTGTTGGCTACAATTATCGTCACACATATTCTGGGAGGTGTGCATGAGGCTGGAGGGCTGGAGAAAGTCCCTTCTGCTCTCCTTCCAATTTCCCTGCTGAATTTACAGTTTTTGACTCATTGATTGTCCTGCCTGTGACCAAAAATATAAATGTGATTAAAAAAATATACATACATACATATACATGCACACATACACATATACATAGAGGGAGAGAGAGAGAGGGAGAGAGAGAGAGAGAGAGAGAGAGAGAGAGTAAAAAAATGGACCTTTGTTTTGTCAATGCTTATAGTACAAAATCTCAATGAAATATTTTCATGTCTGTTGGGGTCCATACAGAAAATGAAGTCATTCAAGGAGAGTTTAATGAAGCTGTGGGCAGGTTTTTGGGAAGCCAAGGGAGACTGTAGTGGCCTAGGATTGGTCACAGTGGGCTGTGGTTACTCACCCTTCTAAGCCCAAAAGCAGATGAGAAGAAGCCATTAAGAGTTGGGGGGAAGACTTGCTGGCATGAGCTGTGGTTTTAACTGAGGGACACAGTCATCCTGTGGCAACCACATGGGAGGAAGTGTGGAACCAACACCCTCCTCCCTCTCCTCCCTGACTGTCCTCAGTCCCTGCCTGTGCTCTTCCAGCCAAGTCCAAGGGGAAGCCTCATACAGCCTACACATGTGGGCTCTGGGAGCACACAGTAGGGCACTGTTAGTTAGCTTTCTGTCTTTATGAAAAAATACCTGGGAAAATCAACTTAAAGGAGAAAAGACTTATTTTGGCTCATGGTTTCAGGGATTTTAGTCTATGGTCATTTGTCTCCATTGTTTATGGGCCTGTGGCGAAGAAAAACTTCATGGCAGCAAGCATGTGGTAGAGCCAAGCTGCTCACTTCATGGTAGCCAGGAAGGAGAGAGAGGAAGAGGGAGGGAGAGGGGAGAGGAAGAAGGAGAGGGAGAAGGGAAAGAGAGAGGGAGAAGGGAAAGGGAGAGGGAGAAGAACAGAGAGAGAGACAGAGAGAGAGAGAGAAGGGCCAGGGTTCCAATACTCCTTTCAAGGCACACCTCCAGTGACCTACCTTCCACCAACTAGGCCTGGCCTCCTAGAGTTTCCAACACATCTCAATAGCACCATCAGCTGGGGACCACTTTGGGACATTCCAGATCCAAATGATAATAAACACTGCCTGTGGAAGTGATGGAGAAAGAAGTGAAAGGGACTATGGAGCATCTGGATCAGTGGTTCTTAGTCAGGGATGATGGTTGCCTCCTGGAGGACATTTGGCCAAGTCCAGAGACAGTTATAGTTATCACAGCTGATAGGTGCTGCAGTCATCTTGTGGGTAGAGATCAGAGACGTTGTTAAACATCCTTTAGTATGCAGAACATGTGTCCAACCAAGAATTATCTAGCCCAAAATGTCAATAGTGCTAGGAGGTTGAAAAATCCTGATCCAGATAGGAAATAGGAGCTGTGAAGGCACCTTGTGCCCTAAGCAGGGAGAGGGTGGCTTGGAGCAGAGATTCAAGTGGTGACAGCTTAGGATGGGGGCACAGAGGGAGTAGGCAGGAGAGATCTGACTAGGGAGAGAAGCAGCAGCAGGTGAGCACAGGTTCTGAGAGCTGCATAGCTGGGCTGAACTGAGGAGTCTGTTGCAGGAGAAGGAGTTAGCTGTATTTGTACTGTGGAAAGGCCACCCTTGGCAGTGTGGAGTGAGGAAGGTGGCAGAAGGCAGGGAGCAGACTACAGTAGCACAGGGATTATTCCCAAGGCCCCAGTTAAGCCTTGTCAGGCTGTGGAAATTGAGTGATAGGGCTAGTCCCAGCCCAGCCTCTGTGCACTGCCTGTGTGGGGCCCCAGGCTGCTGTCCTTGTCTTCTGGCCTTTTGGGAGCTCAAGTCCACAGCAGTGTTCTCTAAAGTTCTCTGGAGCCAAGAAACAGATCAAGGTGGTGAAGAAGGCAGTAATGCCAGCCCAGATCTGACCATGGTTCTGGGTTTCTTATAGGAGGTGTTCCATTTACTGCGAGGGGCCCCACAGGAAGTCACGCTCCTCCTTTGCCGGCCCCCTCCTGGTACACTACCTGAGATGGAACAAGGATGGCAGGTAAGATGCAATACCTCTGGCTCTTATCTGGTAATCCTGAGAAGTCCACTGCTGCTTGTAGGCAGGGTTCAACATCACCTTCTTCCACAGGGGTAGGAAAATAGTGGAGCCCAAACGTTAAGCAAGTCTATTTCCTCTCCCTGCTTCTCTGGACATTGGGGACTTCCTGTAGATGCTTATACATCTCGACTTTGGCCAAGAAACTTGTAGGGCCAAGCTCTTTTGTAGCATGAGCATCAGAGAGGGGAAAACTAGGAACGAGGAGAGCAGATGTAAAACCCAGGCAAGGGAATTTCCAGGCTAAGGAATGAAGTGGAGCACTGGATGTGTTCCTCCTAAATCATAAATGGGCCTGTGTGTGCTACTGCAATGAAAAAGTCATCAAGACCAGGGGAATTCAGGATCTTTACCTTAATGCTTCTCTGAAGAACCAAAACCAATGGTGTGTGTTTGTGTGTATGCATGTGCATGTGTGTGTATGTGTTTATAAGGGGCCCCTTGGGGTGGGCTCCTTGGGAGGCAGATGTGGCAGAGCTTGTTGCTCAGCCATGTTCTCTGTTCACCAGGGATGTCAATTGTGGGATGAAAGTGCTGACCTAGTTTTCAGGAAAAAGTAAAATCACAACTCTTCTATAGTTGTTAGCATAAACACATGTCAAATATTCTATTTAACTCCTTCAAAGAGGGAAGCAGGCAGATGTTAAAACTGGTTCAAAAGAGATTTGCAAGAACATGTTTACTTACAGAGTTGTAGACTAGCTCAAAGACCATGAATCAGCTAGCCCAGAAGAGTGTGTTATAGGCAGACAGTGTATAGGTTTCTGCTGAAACATGCATTGTCTTGCTATAGCAGGTCACCAAAATCAGAACCTAGGACTGGCAGAGTGGCTCAAGTGGTAAGAGCACCTGCCTGGCAAGTGTGGTGCCATGAGTTCAAACCCCAGTGCTGCCAAAAAAATATCGGAACCTAAAAGGCCAACAGGACTGTAAGTGGTGAGGTGAATCAAGTTGTCTGGAGAAATGTAAAGGAGACCTGGGGAGAGCCTCAGGCTGGGAGGGCAAAGAAGTCTGTGATGATAGATGAAGATGAAGAAACTTAAAGGTTTTTTTCTTACTGGAAACTGGAATAAAAAGTCATTGCTTTTCCTTTTTTCTTCCTGTTTTTATTTTGTCTAAAATTTACGAATATAGTAGTCCCTCCTTCCTCCCCTACTTACAGGGGATCCATTCTAAGACTCTTCGTAGGTATCTGAAACCATGGGTGGTATGGAGGCCAATAATACACTGTTTTATTTTTCCTAAATGCCTTGCAATATTGCCATTCAGCACCTGATTTAATCTGTCCTTTCACTCTCTGTGCCCTGGTGCCCTTGCTTCACTGTTCTTGCACCTTGGGTAGCAAAATAGGGCTGACCTGAACAAAAGCACTCTGCTACTATAATAATTGATCTGAAAACCAAGATAACTACTGTACTATTCTGTGACTAGTGGACAGGTAGTGTATAGAGAGTGGATACACTAGACAAAGGGATGATTTACATTTCAGGCAGGATGGAACAAGACAGTTCAAGATTTTATCATGCTATTCAGAACAGAACGCAATTTACTTCTGGAAATTTCCATTTAACACTTTTAGATTCTGGTAACTGAAATTATGTAAAGCCAAGCCATGGACAAGGGGGTATGACGATATTTTTCATTGAAAAAAATCGAAGTACTTTCACATGTATGAAAATAGAATGAGAATAATGAAATCTTTTAAAAATTGTTTAAAAAGGAGGAGATAAGAAAGAATAATTCAGGAGGTGAGTTTGATCGTACTACATTATATGCATGTATGGAAATATCACAATGTACAATTAATATACACTAAAAAAAATAGTCTCACATTTATTCTGAGCTCTCACTACCCCAAGCTAAGGTGCTTAGAGATAAGGCTGAGTGTGTTGCCTGGGCCCAGGGGGAGCAGGTGGGGAACCTGGGACTCTAAGGGTGGGAGACTGATCCCAAGGCCTATCTCTTAACTGCTGGGGCCTACAAGTCACATGAAAAAGAAAGGTTTTTGTTTTTTAAAGAAGAAATTTTTAGAGTTTGCTCAGAGTATACCATGGAGCAAATAATCATGAGTACTTCTTTTAACAGACCCCTGGACTCTCAGACCAAGGATTCACCAGGGCAACGTGTACTGATTCAGAGCAGAGCCCCAGCTTTGATCAAGAGGATAACTGGAGGGAGAGCACCTACCTAGACATGGGGCAAGACCTGAGTCTCAGGCCTGACTCTTCCCACAAGGCTGTCAGATTGATGCAAGAAGACCAAAACAGAGACAGGCCTTGGACCAAGGCCTCAATGCATTCTCTGGAGTCCCATCCTCACTTATGTAAACTTCGCCAAGAAACAGAGACACCAACATCGGCCACCTTTTTGGAAAAGGGTATGAGGCAAAATTGCTATTCCATGTGTGCTATCAAGAGACTTGGGAGGTAGGACACATGACATTTGCAGACTTTTTAGCAATCACACGTATTGCTAGAAGGTTATAGTCAAGCAAGCAGTGACTATGCTGGGAGGCATAATGTGCCCAGCACTGTCTTAGGCATTTGGAGGAAGTAAGAAGTGTAAGGTTTGGAGCTCACAGCCACAACCTGTGAGCTTTTGCAGAAACAAAGCCCACCCAGATCACGATTGTCCCGTATGTCCTGGAGGCCACAGGTAGTAGACCTCTGGTGCTCTCCCACTACACAAACCTGTGTCCTGCACCCTTCAGGGCCTTTTAAAGGTCTGGGGTTAAGGGGAAGATCTTGTATGCATCCTCATTTCTATTGCTACTTAATGCTTTTTTAAATCAACATCACCTTTTAAATAAACACATCTACATTTTCAAAACCAGGCTGACACCTCCAGTTTTTTTTTTTTTTTGAGGTACTGGGGTTTTAAAGGTAGAGCACTTGGTAAGCAGGTGCTCTACCACTTCAGCTGTACCCCCAGATGTCTTGTTTACTTTAGTTACTTTTCAGACAAGATCTCTCAGTTTTTACCTATAGTCAGCATTGGACTGAGATCCTCTTATCTATGCCTCCTGAATAGCTTGGATCACAAATGTGTGCCACCATACCTGGCTTTTACTAACTTTTTTTGCCCGAGCTGGCCTCAAACAACTATTTTTCCTATATCTGCATCCTGAGTTGCTGAGATTACAGGCATGAACAACCATTCTGGCCCTTTAAATTTGAGAGTGGGTAATATCAGGGTTTGAACTCAGTGCCTCACACTTGCAAGGCAGGCTCCCTACCACTGGAGCCAGGCCCTCAGGGAAACCTTAATTTTAATAACCATTTTTCATTTGCTTTGCATTTTTGTGCCCACTGACTCCTAAGTATGTTTAGTTTTTAAGTTCTATTCTTAAGTATGAAAAACATACTCTTTAATTCAGTTTGACAAGTATTCATTGCACACACCCAAGGCACAGAGAGAAGGGTTAAAATACAGGTGAGGATAGTACTTCTAGGCATTTGTTAGCTTGATGCATGCATCGGTACAAAATAGGAAAAAATTGTGAAGCAGTAGGTTGTGTTTGGCACTAGATCAACCTGATGAAATTCAATGGCTCTTATCTGGCGGCAGACACAGATTCATAGGGACTGGGAGGCTACATGAAGTGTGGTCAGTCCTCTGTATCTGGGTTCCACATTTGTGGATTCAACCAACTCTAGATTAGAAAAAAAGTTGCACCCATTCTGCAAATATACAGATTTTTGTCATTACTCCCCAAACAATACAGTTTTACAACTATCTACATATAGCATTTCCACTGTATTAAATTTTATAAGCAACCTAGAAATGATTTAAAGAATACGAAAGGATGTGTGTAGGTGATATGCAAATCTGTACTACATTTTATGTAAGGACTATGATATCTGAGGATTTTGGTAACTAAGAGGTCCTGGAACAGTCACTTATAGATACTGAGTGTCCACTCTATGAAGCAGCAGTGATCATAATACAAGTAGGCCCTGGGAGAGCTGTGACAAACAGGGCCCCAGCTTACATCTCCCAAAGCACCCAGACACAATTTTTAAAAGAACACTGTGCCAACCAAACAAAACCAATCAATTTGCAAAGTAGAACAGGGTAGACAAGCACACGCATCAGTGTTACCCATTTCCATTGTTTGATAATGAAAATATGAACACACATGTATCTGTAGTTCCTCCTGATGGAGTGCTAGGCAGTAACTGATATTCTAGATAAAATGAGAAAGGGAATAGCTGACAGATTTATCTGAGGACAGCCTTGGCATGCTCCTGTAGGACACATAAGAACTCTAATTTTCCTGTAGGCCTGGGCCACCTGTTTGGATTTTTGAAGGTTTTATGCCAGATAATTTGGGTGATGAACAAACACTCTGATCACAGATTATAAAGTGCTTCTGGAGTTAAGTATAAGTTTAGACCTAGACTTACCATGTGCCTTCAATCCAATAGAGTCAGTAGTTGCTAAAAATGGCATTTAGAAAAACTATTTATTAGCAGAGGCCATCATCTTCATTTGTGGTGTCACAGTATATCAGCTTATTCAACACAATATTAGTACAATCTAACATTATACTCCATGTTGCTTCAACATGGGGTATGAGATAACCGTGCTGGAAACTGCTCGATGACTTCCCATGAGAGGGGATTCTGGCTTTTATTTGAATATCTCCAGTGATGCAGAACTCGCTATATTCTATCCCCATGTACCTGTTGATCAGATAGAGCTTTCTTCTATCAAGGTGAAATATACCTCTTTATATCTTCTACCTGCGAGTCCTGGTACTCATCTTCTCTGATCTTTTTGTCAGTCACTTTTTTTTGAGAAACAACACAATATTCTGTTTTGCCAAATCCCATTGAATTTGGCTTAGTGTCCCTACTTGCAAGGGTATATCAGATGTCCTAAATCTGTCATTCTTGGAGGGGAGTGCCCTTTAGAGTGTGGCACAAGAGTTCTGCCTGCTTGTCCAGAGCATTCTGGCAGAGCCTCTGATCCTCAATTGCTGTGGTTGCCACTCTGTGCTCATTTCTCAATCCCACGTGGTCTATGCAGCTATGGGCAGTAGCCTTACTGTTCCTACCACTGCTCTCTCCATGGCTCATGCTTTCTCCTTGCACTTGCAGTTAACACTGCAAATTGACTGCTCCCTGAAGGAAAAAAAGAGTGGTGCATGTCCAGCAACCACTGAATACAGATCCCCTAACTCCAGAGTAAGGTGGAAATTAGGATTCCAAAGTGTGATCATGACTCTGCAGACCTACTTAGAAGGGTCTGCAGTTCAAAGGTGGCTGTCCCAGCCCAACTTCTTTGTTTCTGATATCTTTGAGCCAAACTCACTTTCTGCAGTTTAGAACAAAAACAGCACAGACTTCTAGATCAAATAGCTTAGTTTAGCATCCTCACTAACTAGTGTGCCTGGAGAGTTGACTTCCTGAGTCAAAGGCTTCCCAGTTTATAAATGAGAACCCACAGGTCAGAGGGAGGGCTTGACTGGGATGTGTCTTATACAAAGGTAGTTCCTAAGTTCAAGCATAAGGTGAAGACCACATCAAGTCCCATTAGCCTTGGACTTCATCTTAGAAGGTGTGATGTTATGTACTCCCTTGTGCAGGAGCCTTTCCTTGGTGGAATCCAGGTCAACAGAAGTCTGGGTCTTGCATTTATGGACCATGCTGTGTGCACAATGTAGATCTTTAAAGGCTGGCCTCCTGGGAACTGACACTGACTGACGAGATCATTCTCCCCACTGTGTGCACTTCAGGGCTTGCCCTCACTGAGTGATATTGGTCTTTCTCTCTGTCTGTCTCTTTTGCCTCACACCTGTAATTGAACTCATATAAGTAAAGCGCAGGCAATTTCAGCAAGTATTATTTTTTAAAAGTGATGATATAAGTCTTCATGGTCACTTAAAAATGCAGAATAAGGGAGAAGTCTTTGAAATACACCTAAAGTGATCTAAACTGACTATGCCTCCTGTGGGAGGCCCTGTAACTGGACTACCAAAGGATAGTTAGAAGGTCGAAGGTATAATTCAACTACAGCCACCAGGACCCTGGGCACTGCTTGAGCAGGCCATCTCTTCACTCCTACAGACTCCTAGGAGAGCCCGCTTTCCCCATCACACATTCCTCCCTGACAACTTTTAAATATTTATCATTTGAGCCTCAAATCCAGCAGTCCATTGACTTCTCTACCTTCCTGTTTTAGAAACACTAGTTACAGAGACCTGACCTGCAAAATGCTAAGTGCAACAGGCAGGAGCAGAGGCCTAGAGCCTCCAGCTGTACCAGGTCAGCAGGGATATCGGGGCAGGTCCTGAGGAGGAAGAGCTAGAGAAGGCTGAGTCTTACATAAAGAAGCATGAAACCTAACTTTGTTGTGGGTATAACCACAAATGAATAGTATAATTTCAGTATCTTAATATTTCAAGTTGGAAATGCTGTCTGCTAATTTGACTTATCTTCCTGAAAGGTGGGAATGATTTGGGTGGTCCAAGTCTTTGAAGGATAGCTGTCTAAGGAAACTGGGCATGGTGTCTTTCTCTGGCAATGTCCTGCTGCAAGTATATCCTTCAGTGATATCAGTGACCTTGGAGCTAAACTGGGGTTCCTCTCTGTGTAAATTGTGCTGAAGAGTTACAGGGCTTGGTGGGGCTCTGCCAGCTTGAGAAGGAGAGGTGGCAGGGCAGGGAGCCCACACAGGGTATCCAGATTGTTTTCTACATACCATCTGTCTACCAAAGGCTTCTTCTTGGGCAGCTTAGTGGGTAGGGAGCAGTAGAGGTCATTAAAGTCTGTGGACATGAACAGAGCACCCTAAGCACCTTTCACCCTTCAGACTCTGCCATATTGCCAACACCCTGCACTCGTTGCACTGAGCCCTGGTGAAGGACTCTGCTTTTTTACCTGGCACATCCACCTGCTGTCCTTATCAAATTCCTCAAATCTCCACATCTTGCTCTTTCCATAACATGGCTTTGCCTTAGGGCACACATAGGCCTTCCTGTGCCTCTTCTTTCCTTGTCTTCCTTTTCCCATACCCATGGTCAAGTTCAAGGTCAGATCTGCAGTGAAAGGCTGGTGGCATGTGTGGAGGGGTGGAAGGAAAGGCAGTCATTCTCCCTGACTTGTGGTTCAGTGAAGGCTAGTATTTAGCCCTCAGAACCACAAAGGCTCCTCTGAGTAAGCTTCCTGCCTTTCCTCTTGCCTCTCAGGTTTCTGTCCAGGCAGGACTGGGAGCTAGTACCCCAAACCAAAGCTAGAAGTTGTGGAATGATTATTGTGGTGAGGGTGAACTCCTATAGTGGCTGGTGGGCCTCAGTGCTCTGCACCTCAGGGCCTGGGTGTGCTTGGTAGCCTGCTGGGTTTCCTGCTTTTTGACAAAACTTCCTGGATATCCCCTTCCTGTGTTTATAAGAAAATGTAGTTTCTGAATGATTTGGCCAAGTATTTTAAGTATTTAAGCTAATTTTTCCTCCAAGTGCTCTGCAATTTTAAAATATTTCCCCCACAAAGTGCCCTCTTTAGTCCTTATAGAATATGTTGTCCTTTCTATTCATGTGAGTGTGCATATATTTACCTGAAATGTGCTTTTACACATACCCTGTAGCTCTCATGAGCAGAAATAATGTCCCTTTCATAGGAAAAACTCAGGTTGCTCTCTGGGTGTTTTTGTGTTTCTAGCTTTGGGGAGGGAGCAGAGCTGATTTTAAGCAAAAGAGGCATTGTGGGGAAGGAAAGAGGGGGTGGTGGCACATAACAAAGTCCACCTGTTGATTCAGGTGTGGGGAAAGAGGCTGAGAAATGAGGATGCATTTGGTAAAAAGCTAAATCTCTGTTGTTTTCTCTTAGATTTTCCTTCTCATTCTCTCTAACCAGACTTGTCACAGGTATTTTCTGAGTGCCTTCTCTGCATGTCTGCAGTGCTGTACAAAATGCCCTGCTGTCTGCATGGACTACTCTTTCTAATTCAAGGCATGTGTGGCCATCTTGAGGCAGCCCCTGGAAGGCTGATTCTGTCTCCATTGCATCTGCATCACTAGATAATGAGCCTTTCTGTTCCTCTGCCTCCTGTGTCCTTCCCATGAAATAGGGAGTAATTGTCATTTCATCTGGCTGCCTCTCTAAATGGGCACTTTTTAAAGCACTCAGAAAAGGACCTGGTATTTGCACAAAGACTTTGAAGGTCACCTGCTTGAGTGGCTCCTGGTCTCCTTCTTTGACTCTTTTCCTCTAATCTCTCTGCTGAAATAATAATCACTGTTGCAGTCATAATAATAGCATCTATGCTGACTGAAACACACCCTGTGCCAGGAGCCATTGTAAGGCATGTATTAAGATTATTAATTTAACCATTCACCAATCTATGAATTTCTTGACCTTCCAGTTTTTCAGATGAGAAAACTAAAATTCCAGATAAGTTAATAAACTCATTCAGGGTCTGAATGACTCTGTCACCATGTAAAAAGTGGTCCTAGAATTAGGTCATAGTATATAGTTCTGCTTGCAACACCCATATCCTCTGGCAGGTCCCTTGCAGTTTCCTGGGCTTGGTGAACTGTCTCCCTAAGCCCCACTCCATAATTCTCTGAGCTGCCTCTACTTACTTCTCAGACTGTAATATTTGTCTGCTGCTTTTTCTCATTAAATTGGAGGCTTCTCCAGGATAGGGGCCACCTCTTATTCAATAATGTTTACTTCCTTGTGACCAGAACTGTCTCTGACAGGAGCTGTTTGAACCCAGGCTGGATCTCACGTTAAGTGTCATGGCAAGTCTCGTGAAAGACAAGGGTAAGGTGGGATGAGGAATATCTGATCGAGGCAGGAAGACATGCAGGTTTCTGTTTTCTAGTCCTGGATTGGAGGACAAGTACGATGCTGAAGGTGACACATGCTATCTATTTGAAGCCCCGTCCCCCACCTCGGAGGATGAAGAGTACCTAACTATCAACTCTACGTCTGCAGACCAGCTGCCCTGTGGAAAATGTTTGGAGGCAGAGTCAGAGACCATTCCCTTGCCACAGTTTTGTTCTTGGGGTGCTCTCCCAGAGTCTTTGCTTCTAGAAGGACCCCATGAGAGTTAAAGTGAATGGGAGGACCTGGAGGATCCGGTGGATGTGAGTGATGGTGCTCTCGGGTGGGTATCATGCGCTTTGAGTGGAATGAGGCTGAGTTCTTTCCATGAGGCTCCATGTTTTCAGTGTCCTTGGGCTGAAGCAATGATCCTGGGCATCACTGATCATTACAGTGAGAAAATGAGAGAGGCAGATGTCTATTCCTACTCCCCATACCTAGTCCCACATCTTGAGTGCTGTCTCTAGCATGGGATGGACACATGGGCTTTCCTTAGGCATCTCTTCTGGAAGTCAGCACATCAGGGGCCAATTTCTGTTTTGGTTGCTCTTACCTTCCATGGACTACACATGCTTCAGAGAAGAGTCTTTTTGTCATAATCAGATGCTTCATGTTAAACCACTATGACTATATAACATTGCAATCAAGAAAACTCCAACTACTAATGCAAGCAGTCCCCAGCAGTTGGGACAGGGCTGCGAGGCTGGGGCACAGCTTGCTGCAGACAAGGAGGAGTAAGTATAACATAAGTAAGTAAGCCTGGGAGAAGGGGAGGTTAAATTCTCCACAGCCATGTAAACAATTTAGCATCCTGGGAAAGTACCCACCAAGTGTGTAGTTACAGCTTTAAAAAATGCTGAATATTCAAGAAACTTTTCTATGAGAGTTACTGAGTTTATAAAGATTCCAGTAGAATTAAACAGTCTCCTTATTCACCTTTGTCCCGTTGTGTCCTAGCTACTTTTCACTGGCTGTATAAAAAGAAGTTCAGACAGCGCAAGTGATTGAACTGGATTCCTAGAAGACAGTGGCAGGCAAGCTGATAAGAAGGGTGGATATTAGAAATTCAAATTCTTTGATAAAAGCCCTGGTTCTTATCTGAAATAAGAAGCAACACGTTAATTGAGAGGATGATTCTGAGGCTTTGAAGGCAGTGCATGTGCGTTGGTGGGGAAGCCAGACACCCTGACAAGGTTGGAAGGCCCACTATGGCTTCACAAAAGGGAGGAATAAGCAGGGAAAGGCTTATATATGGAGGATACTCTTCCTGCAGGGGCTTTTTAGGACTGGGGAGCAGAACGAAGGAGGCTTAGAAATCTCTGGGCACCCACAGGGAGGAATTAAGAACCACAGGCTTATGTCAGTGCTTATGAAACATCCCACTGAGATCCACAGTGCCAGAGAGCAGAGAGAATAGTGAGGACAGGGCATTGTGACGGGAGAGGGCTGGTTTTAAGCCTCGCTCTGTCACCCTGCTAGCTGAGTGACCTGCAGCAAATGACTTTTTAAAAACAATTATATTAGCATATAGTAGTTGTACAGTGAGATTCATTGTGATATTTACATATATGCTTACAATATATCTCAGATTTACCTCCTTCATTGTTCTCCCTTCTCCCTCTCCCCCACTTCGTAGAACAATTTTAACAGATTTCACTCTTCTGTTTTCATACATGAATACAAAATATATCCACCATATTCACCCTCCTTCACCCTTTCCTTATGCCCTCCCCCCTCCCACTGATACCCACTCTCTGAAAAGACCTATTTTACCATCTTGTCCTTCATGTTTTTAGAAGTATGTGTTGATGGTCCAAGGGAGTTTTGCCTTGGCATTTCAGACATGTATATATCTTGCTTCAATCAGAATAACCCCCACAGTACTTGCTCTTTCTCTATCACCATCTCCTCTACTATTCAACAGCTTACAGTAAATTACATTATATTATATTCATATATAGATGCAATGTTTCAGTATTTTTCACTCTGACATTTTCTTTTCTCTCCTACCTCCTGTAGTCCTCTCAGACAGAACCACTAATACAGTCTTGTTTTTCCTCTCACTGTACATATATGTGCATGTGTATGTATGTATATATATATCTATACCTATATATGTATTTATGTGTACATTTAACTTATAGGTCTAGCTTCCACCTGTATGGACAAACATGTGACCTTTGACTTTTTTAAGCTGTTGAAGTGGCTATCATCAATAACATAAACAATAACAAATGCTGGTGAGGATGTGGGGGACAGGAACACTTCTACATTGTTAGTGGGAATGTAAATTAGTACAACCACTATGGAAAGCATATGGAGAACCCTCAAAAAACTAAAAGTAGAACTACCATATGATCCAATGATACCACTCCTAGGCATATATCCAAAGGAAATGTCCTCCAGGATACAATAGGGACACTTGCATACCCATGTTATTGCAGCACTATTTACAAAAGGCAACTTTGGAAACAGCCCAGATGCCCCACAACTGATGAATGGATTAAGAAAATGTGGTATACACAATTGAATTTTACTCTTCCATAAAGAAGAACGAAATTATGTTGTTTGCAGGTAAATGTATGGAACTGGAGAACATCATGTTAAGCAAAGTAAGCAAATGACTTTTAAACTATAGTGCAGATGAGTGCCAATGGAGATAACTGAGTCCACCTCTTGCTGCTGTCATAAGGGTTAGGTGGCCATGCTGGTATAGCAAGTGTTAGCAGTATGCACTCAGAAAGTGTTATCTATTTTTCTTATCATAAACATAAAAGAGGAGATCAAGTCAGTGAGATAAGGTCACCTTTTGAAGACATTCAACCCTCTTGGTTTTCAAGGTAGACAAAGGAATTAAACAGTCAGACTTGTGCTGTAACCTGAAGTAAGGTGTCAGTATCTGAGTCGAATGACCAGCCCTCAGCTATGGATAATGGCTTGGGATGTAGTAAGGATAAGTCCTGTCATCATCTGTTATCCTGCACAAAAACAAGAACAGGTCTCACTCTCTGCGGTTGATAGAGGGAAGCGTGCAGGCATTGAGTACTCGAGCCATGAGCTCTTCACTCGGGCTCCATGGAGTGTCCATATGTGTGCTTCATGACACCTAGGGACCTCCACATCTAGACTAGTGTGTTTCCTTTGGGAAAAAGCAGCTCTGAACATTCTTTACATTTTCTAAAGCATCCATAACCCCCAAAAGGTAAAGGACCTCTACCATATATATTTTCTCCTTCGTCTTGAAAGTGGAGAGAAGTCTGGGACGATATATATAGCACTTTGCTTATGGATGGAATAGAGCATCCTTTAAACCTATATCTTCTTGAACATTAAGACAGTTCTAGTAGAAAGGTAAGTGATTTAATGTAATCCTCATATCAGTTTTGCATGGTATTCATATTTTCTATAAATGAGCTTCAGTTTATTTAGTTCGTCCAGGATTGTATAGTCAGGAGAGACGGATTCATGCTACATCTCTTGGATTCTACTTTTGGTGCAGTTTTACATCTCTATTAGAATGTGTCTTCCCGTTGTATCTCTCTAATGCATCTTTCCATCACGTGGCATGAGGGCTACTTTTCCCTCACAAAGTATTTCTCTTTTGTGAGGCCAAACAAAAACAACCAAAAAAATCTCAAATCTACTGTTCGGTGGAATTACAAGGAAAGGGTTAAACTATTCAATTTAGTGAAGTCTGATGGCCAAATAACAAGCCCACCCACTAAAAGTTGCTTATTGTTTTAGGTGAACACAGAGAACAAAGCAGCTCCAGAAGTAGAACCTAAAAGTTTCTATGTGGACATCTTTTGGCAGAAGAGACCCTCAGATGACCCTGGTTCACCAGCTCTGCAACCAGGATGACCTAGGATGGAGCCCTGGCCCAGTTGTTAAGGACTAACTTCCAAGAGACCATGCCAGTATCCAAGACTCATTGTGCACAGTAATCTCAGCCTCTCCAGTTTTGGAGTTTATGTGAAGCAAAACTTTGTGTGTGTGTGTGTGTGTGTGTGTGTGTTAGGGAGTGACTTCTCCTCATGAAAGAAGCTG